TTTCAGATATGCAGAAAATGTCTTGATGAACAAGTAGCTGCACAATTTATTTTAGGCATATATTGACTTTTTCATATATATGTCTTCATAGGCAAATGACCATTAAGGCCCATGGGCCTTTTGTTACTATTAACCTGCTGAAAGTGCAATTTACAAAAATGAAATAACCTTGACCCATATTCAAGGTCACAGGGGTCAATTTTTAAATACTTTCACACCATACTACCAGAAAAGGCTTTGAGAATGTTGTTTTGCCAACGAACATTGCCAGCTTTGAGTGCTACATATAAATAAAAAATGAATAACCTTATCCCATTTGGCCCCTTGTTATACCAAGTTTAGTAGTAGACTGATGATATACATGTACTTGGTGTATATGTATGGTTTTATTAATGTGACTAGTTGGTCTCTCCAACACATAGATATCACACTAGTCATCTCACTAGGGATAGACCAGGAATATTTATGAAGAAGAATAGCTGTGGGTCTGGGTAGGAAAGCCAGACTTTTCATGTGGCCATGATGTGAATTAAGCCACTATTTATAGGAAACCTCCCGGAGGAAATAGTCGAAGATATTTTTTGGTGAGAAAATGCAATCTATTTATTGGAATATTGCACATTTCCAGTCAAAGGAGCCGAGTGTCATTAGCATGAGGTGTTACAGTATCTAGTAGCTAACGATGCTATTGCTGGACGTCCACTAATCACTCCGACTCTCCTCATAAGTCATTCAGGCTTGCTATTGCTTCATGATATTACGCAATTTGCAAATTTTCAGGGTATACACAGAATAGGAGGCTAAATGAACTGCATGAATACCAAAGTTGATCTATTTACACAGAACCAAATGAGGTAATTATTTAGAGATTAAAAACACATCCGGAATACCAGCAACAAATAATTGGATAATTAGCATCTTCTTTTTACTACTTTCTAAAAAGTTATGTAGATTCATGACTTACGAAAAACAAAAAGAAGATTTAAATGTCTCTGTATCAATCAAAGTGACAGCCCTGAAAGAACAAATGCCAGCGAACAACTGGTTAACCCGGTAAAATGATTTGTAAATTTTAAGTAGAATCTTTCAAAACAGATTGTGATATTTAAGTTTTAAGCATGCGTATCTGTCATATTTAACTCACAATGAGGTAGTTTGTTTGAATTAACATAAAGCTGATCAAGGCAAGGCCTACTTAAAATTCAAATTATTGCCTCTTGATTGATAATACACACCGCTTAAAGCATTCAAAATTAGTAACATCAACCCCACCATTAACTAAAGAGATGCTACAATCATGAGATATGAAACATTGGTTTGATCTGACAGAGAGGTCAAGATGAGCTAAATACGGTGTCTTCATCTTTGAAAGATTAATTCTTTATATATTCATTGGCTTGCCATAATCAGGTTTTGTATAAAAGTTTCTTGTAGGAATTTTTGTGAGTCTTGAGAGACCCTGTTGGAGAATTGTCTAGCCTCCAACATGACCAAGTACAGGATGGGAGTGTTAGAAGTTATGTGTACTTATATAAGGTCAGTTAAACACCTAGCGAGGATGGTGGATTGGCTAGGTGTTCGTGACATGCCACAGTTTGGCTGTGAATGCTAAGGAAATAAAACAAACTACTTTGAGTCCATTGTCAGGTCTAGAGCATTTGACAAAAGAAGTCTGATTACTATGTGTAACTGGTTGATTTGTTGCCTCTGTACTACTGGAGTGGACTTTAAGTTCATCCCTCGGTTCATCCTACAAAAGAATGAACTATAGATTCATTTGTCAGTCCGTCTGTCCATTCATCACGTTGTTGGTGGCATACCTTAGGGTACATGTTGGAAAATGGTTGGCTGTTTTACACGGTCTACTGAAGCACTAAGGCTTTATAAAAATATATGATATATATATATTTGCTAATTTTCAATACTTAAGTTTGATGTAGGTACGGTACGGTACTGTTGTCTACGAAGTTCTATGAAAGTATTCTGGGCATGGTTTTGAAATGATGTGCATTGCATCAAAATGTAAATGTAACATTACACAATTAGACAAACATCCCAGTCAGTTTACTACTTTCTTTAGTTATTAGGGATTTCTCTTTAATCAAAAGGTCGAGCACAGTTCTCATTCAGTGTGAGATGTCAATTAGAGAGAACAGAACACATTTCTCATTACTCCTTCCTATTAGAGATAACGGTAAAAAGGTGTCAAAAACAGAAATTCCTCCGATGTGTTTGAATGGAGGAAGAATATTGGAGACATGCTGCTCCGTAAAAACATGGCTCTGTTTTAGCTCACCAATCAAGTTGGATATGGTAGAAAGTTTTAGGTCAATTTTGTAAATCACGTAGTGCTTTTACTGGGCTTCAGAGGGGGTTGTGACACTATTACGCTAAACCTGATCTAAAAATAAAATCATACAGATATACATAGCAGTGATCTTTGTAGACAGCATGTCATACAACATCGCATAAATGGACATCATACGAAGCAAACACTTAATGTCCATCCATTTCTCACAGTGGAGGTGTGAAATATCCACACTGTGTAAAGATGAAAGTGAAGGATTGATTGACATCGACTCTGTTGCCTTTACACAATTTTATTATACCTCAATCACTTGCAAGCTTTATAATCATTAACTACATTTGCTTTCAATAACATTAGCCCAAATGGAATGCCTTTTTACTGTTGATTTTTGTATCTGATGTAATGACATGAACTCAAAATCACGTTGTAAATTACATCAATCATAATGTTGGTTTCACAACAGAAATCTGTTTATCTGTGATAGAAATGTGCAGTGAAATGATATTGGTTACAGTTTGACAACATATGTCCTTGACCAAGGTGAAATCAACATGTCTGATACCTTTCCTTGAGATTAAACTTCTTGTTTGGTCATATCTCCTCATGGGATTCGGTCCATTTGATTACTGGCTTCATCTCATTAAATAGAATGTGTGGGGGATGTCAGATTTTAGATTAATGAAGTGAGAGTATTAAAAGAGATATCTTAAATTTACTCCACTGGAGATTCATTCCATTGAAACACAATTAAGCCCTGATATATATGTCATTCTTTAAGATCCATTTGGCTGTATGATAGATAACCAAAATCCAATGGGTATGGGTTTTATATTGTTTGATGTCCTATTAAAAACAATGATCAAACCTCATTATATAACAGCACGTTTGATTGGATGAAGTCAATCTTGTGCTGAGCTGCACATTGCCTGCTCACAATGAGTAATCTCTATCATGTCACTCCTATTCTGAGCATTTCTTTAATATCATTTGGAGTTATGTGATTTGACCATGAGTTCCCAAATTTTTACAATAAGGCAGATGAACATATGAGCAATTGGTTTTTTTTTTTTTTTTGTTTAAAGAAAAAAAAAAATGAAAAAAGAATATTAAGAAACAGCGTTGTTTCAGTGAAATGCTTTAAGAGCATTTCTAAGAAGACTGGCTAGACTTTCTGATAGTACAACACCAAATAGATTAACAAACATCATGAGCCTTAAACTGTGTGCTGAATTTTCAGTGAAATAAACAATTTAAAACAAGTTGCTGTGAATGTTTGTATAATGTTAAGTGTTTTATTTCCCTTGGGACACTTCTTTGGGACACTCCCCTGGAACACTCCATTCCGACATTCCCATGGAATTCTCCATTGAAACTCCCTTGGAACATTCCCTTGTAACACTCCCTTGGAATACTCCTTGGGACATTCCCTTAGAACACTCCATTTGGACATTCCCTTAGAATACTCCCTTGGGACATTCCCTTAGAACACTCCCTTTGGACATTCCCTTGGAACACTCCCTTGGAATACTCCCTTGGCACACTCCCTTTGGACATTCCCTCTGAACACTCCATAGGGACATTCCCTTGGAACACTCCCTTGGAATACTCCCTTTGGAAATATGACATTTCCAGTAAACTATCACATACAGTTGAAACTCATTTTCTCGAAACTGATTGAATTGAAATTAATTTGGAGTCTAAAGAATTTCCAAGTCCTGATTTTCTTCCTTCCTCATTGTAGTAATTCTGATTTGGATGACTCATTGTGATTTCATTTTAGTCAAAGTGATTTTTCAGTCCCTTCAGTTGCTAAGCAAGTGAAAAGTCATCCATTGTCTTGAAAGTTATTTTTATGAAAACATCAGCATGTCTTCTAAGAGTATGATCAATACACCGTTCTGTAGCAGTGACATGCTTGTATGGTAAATAAGTACTGTGTTTACACAAGACATGAAAACTGATAATGTTTTAAATTCAGTGTAATAGACTGGAAACAATGATTCATCTGCACCTGTAAGGAGCAATAAGATCCTATAGTGTTTTTTTAAGGCTGTACTATACAGTTACATGTACAAATTGGCACGGGTAAACAATTTCAATGCTGCTTATTTCATATTTTTATTCTAGTTAAGGTATTTTAACATGATCTGTAACTTCAAATATGGTTTCTAGTAATGTATTAAAAGCAATTTTTTCCTTTTGTTCTTACATTTTATAAAATCATATGACCTTATATGGGAAGTGTTAGGGATGGAACAAAGTGAGTAGTTGATTTTCATTGTTATTACATACTGTTTGTTCCCAATCCTTCCAGATGATAGATTACTTTACGCTGTTTGAAGCGCAGAGTACCTTGCTATCTTAGCCCATGCTTCGTTCAACAGTAATCAGGAACAAACGGTTAACCTTATTTAGACCCTTTCTTTGAGTCGAAATTCAGATAAGTCGCAATATTTCTCATGGTTCTTTGAATTTGGAGATAATGTGTTTTGACAGTATAACTGTAACCAGGGCCATAAATGCAAATGGTCAATAAAAACTGCATGTTGAATGGACTGATGCCAAAGTGAAAGATGGAAGACTAATGGTACAAAATATATATATATATATATCAAATTTCTGGTTTAAGTTTCTTAATTGTTCTTAGAAGTTTTAAATGTGGAACTCTAAAATAAATTTTGTTTGTTTACAGAAATATGAAAAACTTACAAGTATCCAGCACTGGAGTCCATCACATCATGTCAAGAAAACAGCTCTTAGCATCAAAAAATTATTAAAAGACAAGGTCAGGGCTGTAAAGGTAAGGAACAAGGCAAACCATTACACAGGTACTGAGGGAACATTTCAAAATTAGAAAGAATGACATAGAAACAAGGCAAATCAGAACATCCAACTGTTGGATCCTTTTTTATTCTCAGACAATATCCAGCCTGTTAGATCCTTTTTTGTGTCACCTGTCAAAGACAACAAATAGGTATAACTATGTCAGAGGTGTCATCTGCATATCTTCTGCACAAAGGTTTTTTTTTTGATAACCTGACTTCACTTTGGCCATTCAACCTCAAACTTCATACAGTGCTTCCTAATCAGAAGTGTTTGCTTGGGTTTGCTTTCAGGTTCAAAAGCAAAAGGTCAAGGTCACTGTTACTATCAATAGGAATTCTTTTTGTGTGATAACATAAGTTCCGTTTGGCATATCGACATCCTGTTTGATCCTTTTTTTTTTTGACAATATCCAGCCTGTTTGATCCTGCACTTTCTCAGACATTATCCAGTTTTATGGATCCTTTAGTTTCCTTAGACAATGTCTAGATTGTTTCCTTGCAAGCAATAAACACAGCCTGTAGCATCCATGCTTGCCTTCAATTCAAGTATTAAGCATACCTTAATTGAAATATTTTTTTATCCAGAACTTGGTAGCAGTTGCAGAACAAGCTAGCAGAAACCATACATTTGATGAGAATCTTGAGGTATGTTTTATCTGGATTATTTATTTATTTGTTCTGAGGACTTAATGTCCTGAACATTTGATTCATTATCCAACAAAGTTGCATTTAGCATTCAGTACAATTATAATGGTTATCTCTTGTCATATTTTAACTACATCTGGTTATCTGTTGTCACAGTGTGACTACCTCTTGTTATCTGTTGTCACAGTGTGACTACCTCTGGTGATCTGTTGTCACAGTGTGACTACCTCTGGTGATCTGTTGTCACAGTGTGACTACCTCTTGTTATCTGTTGTCACAGTTTGACTATCTCTTGTTATCTGTTGTCACAGTTTGATTACCTCTCATTATCTGTTGTCACAGTTTGACTACCTGAATAACAAAAAGCTCCTGAGTGATGCAGATCTTGTGATGATGGGCATCAATCGTACAAGTCCAGAGGTGGTTCGGCCAACCCCACACCCTCACAATGTCACCAAACCTGGTGGCGAGGTAAGTCAAACTTTATATTTTTCCTTTGTTTCAGTCACTGTATTTTTAGTTTTACTCCTTCTTGTCACACTGATATCAGGATACAATAAATATTGTGTTTGTTTGAATTGTTTTAAAACCAAGTGGAAATGTGTCTATTTTTGATTGTTGTATCTGTTGATACCATAGTAACAAATTTGACATTAAGTAGCTTGCCTGACATGAATGAAGTGGTACAAGGTCTGTCTGTCTGTACATGCTATTTGTTCGAAATAATTTCTTGATTTAAAAAAATCTCATATTTCCATTTCTGCTCTGCATTAGTGATTAGTGAAAAATTCGACCAATGACAAAATTTCCAGGTCTCGGAAAGGAAACAAAAATTCAAATTACACAAAAAAATGTTAACTTCTTAGGGACATATTCATTTTTTTTGGCCTTTTCGTAATGACATATGTATTTGTTATCCTAAATATCGGGTGAGTGTTTTCGGCCTAACTGTTTCTTGTTTATATTCTCTGTGTTGTATGCACCATAACTTTACCATTTTGTAAATTTTATTTAGCCCAGTGATTCCAATCGAAGTGACGATTCAGAAACCAATTATACATACGAGGAGAGTGCTGAGGTATTTTGATGTTAGACGTATGACATGTATGAGCTATATGTTTAGTAGTGTTATCCTATGTGCTGGATTGTTGTACTCCAGTGATGTCAAATTGTATGCTTATCGGTTATATCGGCCTGGCATGACATGAAAAAAGGCGTAGATACGTAATTCAGAAAAGAAATATGACGATTGTACAGATAAGTTAGATGATTTTTTTTTTTTATATATAGAAATAATTGAACATCAGTCCCCCCCAATATTCATGCCCTCATCATTTTATGTGGGGACATTTAGTCCTACCCTTTTCTATCCCATCACATCCTGTTCCAATGGGTGTCATGACAAACTTAGTCAGTCCTTGGAATGAAAAAATTGATTTGTTTTTATCCCATTGTATTCTTAGTTCAAATTCTACACCTTTTCATATTAAGATGGTCGTTGTTCAAGATGAATTGGTCAAACATCACATTTGACAACTGTTGCAAGTTTATCTTTCATTGATACTTAGGTATATGCTAAGGAGTAAAGGAATTTATGTCTCACAGACAATTTCTAGTTTTTATTTTGGAGATAGAAATTCATTGGCTTCTCCTCTTTACCCTTGAGAGTTTAAAAATTCACCAATGTTGTCAGAGAGATTTGCCATTGGCTTGTTTTAGCATTTTTATCTAACTGTGAGATCGCTTCCTTCTCTTATCTCAATTTTTGACCATTCTCCTTTTTTACTAGCTTTATCATGTTGACAAGGCGGCTGTGTTTTCCCTCAATAGCAATTTGTTCAACACTTGTGGAAGAGTTATGGCCATTCACTTTGTAAACATTTGTTAAAATCCAGAAATGAGATTAATTCCCGTTATAGGTGTGCTTACACCATTACTTCACTGTAGTTAGATTTAGATTACTGAAGTTGACATTAAAAGGAATCCACTGTAGTTAGAGTTAGGTAAGTGAAGTTGACATTAAGTGGAATTCAGTGTAGTTAGATTTAGATATCTGAAGTTGACATTAAGTGGAATTCATTGTAGTTGGATTTAGGTAACTGAAGTTGACATTAAGTGGAATTCACTGTAGTTAGATTTAGGTAAGTGAAGTTGACATTAAGTGGAATTCACTGTAGTTAGATTTAGGTAAGTGAAGTTGACATTAAGTGGAATTCACTGTAGTTAGATTCAGATAACTGTAGTTACCATTAAGTGGAATCTACTGTAGTTAGAGTTAGATAAGTGAAGTTGACATTAAGTGGAATTCAGTGTAGTTAGATTTAGGTATGTGAAGTTGACATTAAGTGGAATTTAGTAGTTACCATTAAGTGGATAGTTAGATTCAGATTACTGAAGTTGACATTAAGTGGAATTCAGTGTAGTTGGATTCAGGTAACTGAAGTTGACATTAAGTGGAATTCATTGTAGTTAGATTTAGATATCTGAAGTTACCATTAAGTGGAATCTACTGTAGTTAGATTCAGATATCTGAAGTTGACATTAAGTGGAATTCAGTGTAGTTAGATTTAGATTACTGAAGTTGACATTAAGTGGAATCTACTGTAGTTAGATTTAGATATCTGAAGTTGACATTAAGTGGAATCTACTGTAGTTAGATTCAGATTACTGAAGTTGACATGAAGTGGAATTCAGTGTAGTTAGATTTAGATTACTGAAGTTGACATTAAGTGGAATCTACTGTAGTTAGATTTAGGTAACTGTAGTTACCATTAAGTGGAATCTACTGTAGTTAGATTCAGATTACTGAAGTTGACATTAAAAGGAATCCACTGTAGTTAGATTTAGGTAAGTGAAGTTGACATTAAGTGGAATTCAGTGTAGTTAGATTTAGATATCTGAAGTTGACATTAAGTGGAATCCACTGTAGTTAGATTCAGATTACTGAGGTTGACATTAAGTGGAATCTACTGTAGTTAGATTTAGGTAACTGAAGTTGACATTAAGTGGAATCTACTGTAGTTAGATTCAGATTACTGAGGTTGACATTAAGTGGAATCTACTGTAGTTAGATTTAGGTAACTGTAGTTACCATTAAGTGGAATCTACTGTAGTTAGATTCAGATATCTGAAGTTGACATTAAGTGGAATTCAGTGTAGTTAGATTTAGATTACTGAAGTTGACATTAAGTGGAATCTACTGTAGTTAGATTCAGATATCTGAAGTTGACATTAAGTGGAATTCACTGTAGTTAGATTTAGATAACTGAAGTTGACATTAAGTGGAATTCACTGTAGTTAGATTTAGGTAACTGTAGTTGACATTAAGTGGAATCTACTGTAGTTAGATTCAGATTACTGAAGTTGACATTAAAAGGAATCCACTGTAGTTAGAGTTAGATAAGTGAAGTTGACATTAAGTGGAATTCAGTGTAGTTAGATTTAGATATCTGAAGTTGACATTAAGTGGAATCTACTGTAGTTAGATTTAGATTACTGAAGTTGACATTAAGTGGAATTCACTGTAGTTAGATTTAGGTAACTGTAGTTGACATGAAGTGGAATTCAGTGTAGTTGGATTTAGGTAACTGAAGTTGACATTAAGTGGAATTCACTGTAGTTAGATTTAGATAACTGAAGTTGACATTAAGTGGAATTCAGTGTAGTTAGATTTAGGTTAGACATTAAGTGGAATTCAGTGTAGTTAGATTTAGGTAACTGAAGTTGACATTAAGTGGAATTCAGTGTAGTTGGATTTAGGTAACTGAAGTTGACATGAAGTGGAATTCAGTGTAGTTGGATTTAGGTAACTGAAGTTGACATTAAGTGGAATTCAGTGTAGTTAGATTTAGGTAACTGAAGTTGACATTAAGTGGAATTCAGTGGTAGATTTACTGAGGTTGACATTAAGTGGAATCCACTGTAGTTAGATTTAGATAAGTGAAGTTGACATGAAGTGGAATTCAGTGTAGTTAGATTTAGGTAACTGAAGTTGACATTAAGTGGAATTCACTGTAGTTAGATTTAGGTAACTGAAGTTGACATTAAGTGGAATTCACTGTAGTTAGATTTAGATAACTGAAATTGACATTAAGTGGAATTCACTGTAGTTAGATTTAGGTAACTGAAGTTGACATTAAGTGGAATCCACTGTAGTTAGATTTAGATAACTGTTTGACATGTAATTCACTGTAGTTAGATTCAGATTACTGAGGTTGACATTAAGTGGAATTCAGTGTAGTTAGATTTAGATTACTGAAGTTGACATTAAGTGGAATTCAGTGTAGTTGGATTCAGGTAACTGAAGTTGACATTAAGTGGAATTCATTGTAGTTGGATTCAGGTAACTGAAGTTGACATTAAGTGGAATTCACTGTAGTTAGATTTAGGTATCTGAAGTTGACATTAAGTGGAATTCAGTGTAGATTAGATTTAAGTTGACTGAAGTTGACATGAAAATGAGTTGGATTTAGATTGACATAAGTGGAATTCAGAAGTTGACATTAAGTGGAATCTACTGTAGTTAGATTTAGGTAAGTGAAGTTGACATTAAGTGGAATTCAGTGTAGTTAGATTTAGATATCTGAAGTTGACATTAAGTGGAATTCACTGTAGTTAGATTTAGATAACTGAGGTTGACATTAAGTGGAATTCAGTGTAGTTAGATTTAGATTACTGAGGTTGACATTAAGTGGAATCTACTGTAGTTAGATTTAGGTAAGTGAAGTTGACATTAAGTGGAATTCAGTGTAGTTAGATTTAGATATCTGAAGTTGACATTAAGTGGAATCTACTGTAGTTAGATTCATTAAATTGACATTAAGTGGAATTCACTGTAGTTAGATTTAGGTTAATGTAGTTACCATTAAGTTGAATCTACTGTAGTTAGATTCAGATTACTGAAGTTAACATTAAAAGGAATCCACTGTAGTTAGATTTAGGTAAGTGAAGTTGACATTAAGTGGAATTCACTGTAGTTAGATTTAGATAACTGAAATTGACATTAAGTGGAATTCACTGTAGTTAGATTTAGGTTAATGTAGAATCTACTGTAGTTAGAGTTAGAATCTGAGGTTAAGTGGAATCCACTGTAAGATGATTACTGAATTGACATTAAGTGGAATCTACTGTAGTTAGATTTAGATATCTGAAGTTGACATTAAGTGGAATCTACTGTAGTTAGATTTAGATTACTGAGGTTGACATTAAGTGGAATCTACTGTAGTTAGATTTAGATTACTGAGGTTGACATTAAGTGGAATTCAGTGTAGTTAGATTTAGATTACTGAGGTTGACATTAAGTGGAATCTACTGTAGTTAGATTTAGACATTAAGTGGAATCTACTGTAGTTAGATTCAGATATCTGAAGTTGACATGAAGTGGAATTCAGTGTAGTTGGATTTAGATCAGTGAAGTTGACATTAAGTGGAATCCACAGTAGTAACATTAAGATTACTGAAGTTGACATTAAGTGGTATCAAGTAGTTCATGTTTGTTGTAATAACAATATATCTTTTATCTTTAGCTATTAATTGTCAGTTTTGTTCACTGATGTGTTTTGTGATTGTATATATGACACATATTAATGTCAAAGGGAAGTAATCCAGAGCAGATGCAATATTTACATGAAGATTTTCAACTTGTTAACATTAACATTGATGAACCTGTAGTCCTGTTATTTCATTGAAATTCAGCAGTATAGTAATTTTGATTTCTAATTTTGTATAAGTTCTGGTTTCTGGTGTATGTAACTACAATTATTGAGGTAATAGGTTTCTGGTGTGAGAAATTAACATATGAGTATAATAAATGATTCTCAACATCCAGGAAGCTGTTTCTTTTATTCCTATAAGTGTCTTTTGACCGCTATATGCAGCCCTCATCCGGACGATTGTAACATAAAAACATAGAACCAAAGTAACAATCTGCAGTTCACAAAACATGACGTCATAATGGACGACATACAGGAGTCAAAATTGAATTATTAAGAGGATTTCAAAAAATGTCATAAATACTATATTCAGAAACAAGTTCATAAATTAAATGTGAAGGTTTCTCACCTAGACACAGTCTGTCATCTAAATTAGCACTGTTCATGTTAAGTTCTGTATGTAATATAATTCAGGAGAGAGTAATGTCTGTTTTCGAATAGGTGTGTTTCATCTTCAGTCTTCATTAGTTTCTTCGTAGGTTCAGAAATGTAAACTTTACTCAGAATAGAATAAAAGTAATATTGTGTATTTCCATTTTTTGCTGGCACGGTCTTAAATCGACCTTTTTTTTTCTTTATAATGTTTTGAAATCAAATAAATTTGTTTTCAGAGAAGAAATTATTACCATCATCTGGTAAGATTAAAACTGCTTCTTGCTTTGTTGCTGTTTCATTGCTGCAAAATTGTGTTTCAGTGGAGCTAATATATATTGTTGACAGCCAGATCAGTAGAGCTTCAGTAATATATTAGACTATTCAATATTACAACAACCAGAAGGAAGAAAATTCTGTTTAATCAGCATTTGTGACTGCTTTATGCAATAGAAAATAGATTTATCTATGCTGTTGTTTTCAGGATGAGTAAAAAAGTAAACAAAATAAACATATAAAAGCAAAAATAGACAAATGACAGCTAGTATATTGGTGACAGAAGTCATCTATATATACAACCAACAGAGACTGAGATAGAGCTAAAAAATTATTACAAAATATTATTCAAAATTTAATCAATCTTAAATATATCAGCACTTCTTTTCAGAAGAGAAATAATTGTTAGAATATATCACTTTAACGTCATTGGGAAAGTTGAAAAGTAAAAATCACAACGACATTTAGAGATATAAAAAAAAGTGATCACTTCATTTTCATTGATTAGCACATGAATAATTATCGTTATACTGCTTCTGCAGAGAAAAAAATGTTTATGCGTATTATCAATGGCAGTTTCATTAGAGAAAAGTTGTTCCAGATTCAGTGAAGGAACACTATTTGACCTCTTAAATTTTTATGTATAAGCTTATCAGGTAAACTTTCTATAACATTGTGATGCCTGCTATTGAACTGTGTCTGATATGCTTTTTTGTTTTACAGGAAGCAAACTACCACAGTGACGTGATGTTGGTAGGCGTGGGAGGGCCCAACACAATAGCCAAATATCGATACTTACCCACTGTCAACAGTTCCAGATTCAACAATGCTGCTGTGAATTTCAACACCAGTACTATACATGTACCCACAAATGTTTATGATAAAAGTACGTTAAGGAAGGTGTGCAATATATGGACAAAGGGAGATAATTCTCATACACAATGATATCACTAGAATATAATTCAGGGTACAGTGTCACTGTCTGACAATTTCTTAGGACTGCAAAAGTTATTTTCTAACAGCAACCACTTAATATTGTAATTTGCATACATTTATAGACATAAATGTAGGTTTCATGCTACTTAATCAATCACTGTTATTACATATTTTGAAGGGTTTTGTTATTTCAAAACAAGAACAGCTGTTCTTACCAAGATCATGTATTTGAAGATGTACATAATTTTGTATTTGAATGTTGCCAAATCACGATTTTCAATGTAGATTTCACACTAATATAGTTTTAGTTAAACAGTTCTATTTGTTTAATTTTTTGTATAATAATATATAGTGTTTAGTTACAGCATTAATTGCTAATTAAAGTAACACTTTCAATCAAGAGCATCAAACATACATCTTGACATCACATAAGCTATGTGACCTGTGACTCAACTCATTCAATTTCTCACTCATGTGTAACAAGTACTTTTGACTGTCTAAAAACAGGTATTGGGACGTATTTGAGGGGCACCATCTGGCCAATAACAGAATTTAACAAAAACCAAAATCGTGACCAACGCCCGTGAAGCTATTAGCATAAGTATTTGAATTAAATTCTTAGAAACATACCTAGCAAAGGCTTAAAATGGCATCATTTAGTAGTTAAATGTCTTATCGCCATCAGAAGTCAATAACAGGAAGTATACAGGTGAGACTAACCGACCACTCTGGGAAATGCCCTTACATTTTACACCCGTCTAAACCTGCCCATTTTCTTGGACCCAAATACCTACATACTACTTTCATCTTTCACCAGATATAGATTAAAACCCCATAGAGAACTCAATCTTTCACAAAATTAAAGTTAAGGTGGGATTACAATTAATTGGATACCAGTTGCTGATTAGTTAATTTAGTTGTGTAAGTGCTATACAGAAAGCAGGTGTTTTTAGTACACCTGTGTAAATCAATAGTTATCAAAAGAAGTCAAACATATTCCTTAATCATAGTAAAATTTTGTTAAGATTCATTATCGGTAAGAAGCGTATTGCATTCATTAACCAAACATAGCTGTGAAACAATAAATTATCACATTTCTTAAAAACTGAAACATAAATCTTGAATCAAAGTCATAATTTAGGGACTATTTTTATACATTCTGAATGATATAATGATTGATGAAATGGCCCTGAAAAGCATGTAATGTGTTGCAACCAACTTTATTTATACCAAATGCAAAATAACTTCAGTGACAACAAGGGAGACAACTCAAATAGACGGCTCTAAAATTTAGTGAGTAAGTTGAAAATATCCATTGGTAGATCACAGTAACGGTAACAGTGCTTATATAAACTGTTCACATGGGATCACTTTTAGAGAGTAGTGTGTACATCATGTCTTTCATTAGCAGTCAGACAATATACCTAGAGTATGTGTAATAACTATTTATATCCTGTGTTTCAGATTCTTTAATTCAGAATGGAGTGAAATGGTCAGAAGCTCTGAATGAGGAAATGTTGCAGAATGACAGAAAAATCAAAGGACTGACTTGGCAGTATTTCTGTAGTTCTGACGGTTTCTTCAGAGTATTTCCAGGCAAGTTGACCATCCTCACCAGGAAGTAAGAAGTGAATCCAAAGTCATTATCTGATGTGTATCTTTTTTGATAAGATATGAATGTAAAGAAAGGTTAGGTCAGATTTAGTCATCCTCCCCTTCGATACCAGATGGTATGCAGGGCATCCCACTTAGTAAGTTATAAAATTCCGCAAATGGTGGTTCACAACAAGTTTAGGGTTTAATTGTATTAAATGTCTCACCGATATGGAACCCTGTAGGTAGGGCAATGGCAAAATTACTCTTAACACAAACCAAAACTATATAAACTATATTAACTGGCTAGGGTCTAGCTATTATGTAGCAGATGAGGATGGGATATAACTGATGTGGCCATGTGGCTGGGGTCTGGCTAATGTGGCTGGGGTCTGGCTGATGTGGCCGGGGTCTGGCTGTTGTGGCTATACAGGATCTGGGATATTCAAGAGTTACTACTGTAGTTGGTCAGAAATTAATGGAACTTTATCTTTGTTTTATATGAGATTAAGATTTGACTAACAGATGATTTCTATTACAGGTATTCGGTGGCCACAGGATAATAAGGGAGGTAATATCGATATGTTTGACTGCCGTGTGAGAAACTGGTAAGACAATACAGTTATATATTGTGGGATTAGTGATTATATATTGATAGGAAAATGTTTTTGCAAATCTTTTAAATAACCAAGAAATTCATACAGAATTTAAGTTTTGAAATGTCTATCACATGAGTCATGATATAAGTTGGACAGTAGCATTCCAATATATACAAATAGTATGTGATTTAATGTCCTTGGGTATGCTGAGTTACTTAAGCCCAGTAATCATGCTGTTTACAGGTACATCGAGTCGTCTTCCTCCCCTAAGAATGTAATTATTTTGGTGGACACAAGTGGCAGTATGAAAGGTCTGAGAATGGAAATAACACGAAGTACCATTGAAAGGATTCTAGAAACTTTCAGCAGCAAAGATTATTTCAATATCATATCAGTAAGTTTGTACAGTTTTATGACATTTTGGCTAATTAGACTACCAGCACCAGATGATAGACTGTACAAATCACGCTGGGTCTATGTGGTCTGTCTGTTGGGCTTCCTTAAATGATTTTTGTTGTCACTCTTTCTTAAGAAGCACTGGACGAATCTTTCTCAAATTTCATGCTGGAGATTTTGGGACAGATCAGAAACATAAAATGGTTCAAAGTCAGCCATCTTGGATTTTTACTAAGAAGGTTTGTTATGGCTATTTCTTGAAGTACAGGATGGATACATAGCATTAACAATAAGCAGCCATCTTGATTTTAACAGTTATAGAATGTTAAGGCTGCTTTGGGAGAATAACTGTATAGATAATTTTCAAACTTCATATAATTCTTATAAAAGCAGATGATAGGAAAAGACCAGCTGAAGATCCAAATCTCTATGAGATCTCTTTATTACAGTTGGTTTTTGGTATATAATCAGAAATTTTACCAATTGAACATGGTGCTGTTTGATGATGTAGGACATGATCCCTTTTTAAAGAGTTGTTGGAGCGTAGTCATTGTGAATTATTTCATAATCACCAGAATAGCAGTAGCACATCTTTGTCATATATTAATTTGTATGATATCTGTGGTGATCTGACAACACACAACAAAATGGAACAATGAACTACCGAGTAGGTTGAAATAAAATGGTGAAATATTTAGTCCCAGTGTGAAAACCCTGATATGTTAATGATTAATTTCCAATTAAACTTTTCTTTCTCAGTTTAACAAAAATCTGACCTATCTGGATCCATGTTTTAATGGTACAATGATGCAGGCAAATAAGGAGAATCGAGAAAGACTAGCAGGATACATACGAAACCTTAAGACTTCCTATATAGCCAGGTTTGACAAAGCTCTGACTGAAGCCTTTGATCTGTTTGAAAGAGTGAGTTCTTTTCTCTAAATGTGACTATAACAAAATATAGAAATGCTGTTTTATAAGAATGCCATGATCATTAAATCTTGTTGTAGCAACCAAAATTGAATTTAAAATTGCTTACATGTTTAATTGATAAGAAGTATCAAAGGTTAGTCAGAAATAATCTGTTTTCCAATAATTTCTTTTTTGTTGTAATGGCTCAAATACTTGCTGAGAATTGTCCATTCTGTACTATACAGGAGGAGATGGCCTGGGGAAAACGTCTCTGCAACAAAGCCATCATGCTCATTACTGATGGGGCTCCAGAGGGGTATGAAAAAATATTTGAAGAACGAAATTGGAAAACAGACAACAGAAAACCTGTGAGTTTTGATCGTGTTCTTCTCATTAAAGATAAACAGTGTATGTATGAGAAGTTACCCTAAACAGAACGTAATTTTAGCCCAATATCAGGAAATAGTGGACTGTTCAGATCACTTGTTATTTATGTCCATATCCGTTGTCTGTCTATCTGTCCATCAATAATTCTTTTTACTGCTATTTCTTAAGTATTTGATGGATCGTTTTCAAATTTCATATAGGTTCCCCTTGGTTCCTAGTTGTGCTCTTTTCACTTTGGGATTTATCCAAAAACCAAATTGTCCAACAGTCAGCCATCTTGGATTTTGACAGTAATAGTTTGTTATCCCAATTTCTCAAATTTCATAAGCAGGTTCCTTTTGGTCCTGATTTGTGCATTGTTTGGAATTGATCTAAAAAATGATATGGCTAGCAGACAACCATATTTGTTTTTTCAGAATAACAGATGATTGCTATGTCTGGAAAAGTAATTTAGATGGATCAAACAAAATGGTTAATTAACAGGCAGCTATCTAGGAATTTGACAATGAAAGTTTGTTATTGTTATTTATTTCTTGAGAGATACTTGATTAAGTTTTCCTAAATTTTATAAGAAGGTTCCTGAAGGTCATTAGTTGTGCTCCGATGATTTTAGGACTGATCAGATGAATTGAAAACGGCAGACAGGTGGCCATCTTGGATTTTAATTTTGACACTTTGTTGTTATTTCTTGGAATGTTCACAATTGATCTGCCTCAGATTTCATATATAGGCTCACTTTGTTCCCTAGTCGTGTCGTTTGGATTTTGGGAGTGATCAGAAAAACTAAATGACCACCTTGGATTTGACAGTCTTAAGTTGTTATCGCTGGTTTTTAGGGAAAAAATTCTAACTTCATATGATAATCAGCATAATAACAGAAAAGAAGAGAAATAAGTGGGAAAAATGTAGCTTTTAAAGTCTGGATGAAGATCAAACAATTGTTGGCATCAGAATCCTTAGATTTTCTATTTTATATCATTCACTATGCTGTACCAAAGCATGAAATTGTATAGATTGGTCAGGCAGCCATCCAAAGATATTAACATCCTTCTATCCTATACCAACAAATATAGCTGTTGTTGTCAGTACTACCAGTGAGACAGGTCTTGTTACAAGGAAATAAGATTGATGATTGTCAACTTTGTCTGAATCAGATTTTGATTTGTTTCTGTTTAAAAGGTAAGGATGTTCACATTTCTGATTGGTCGAGAAGTTTCAGACAACAGGAATGCTAAGTGGATGGCTTGTGCAAACAAAGGTAAAACAGGGAACGTCTCTGATAGGTTCAGGGTTTGATTGACATGTCATCTCATTAATATCAAGATACTTATAATAATATTATTTCAATATGAAATTCTTCACTTCTTTTAAAGTGAAAGATGACCACTGAATCATAACTAAAACTGCTGTTTAGTTAAGGTATTTAAAAGGTTAAGGTGAAGGTAATTGTCAAGTTAATGTAAAAGTTAGTATCAAGTTAATGTGAAAGTTAATATCAAGTTGACGTGAGAGTTAGTATCAAGTTAATGTGAAAGTTAGTATCAAGTTAATGTGAAAGTTAGTGTCAAGTTAATGTGAAAGTTAGTATCAAGTTAACCTGAAAGTTAGTGTCAAGTTAATGTGAAAGTTAATATCAAGTTGACGTGAGAGTTAGTATCAAGTTAATGTGAAAGTTAGTATCAAGTTAATGTGAAAGTTAGTGTCAAGTTAATGTGAAAGTTAGTATCAAGTTAACCTGAAAGTTAGTATCATGTTAAGGTGAAAGTTAGTATCAAGTTAAGGTGAAAGTTAGTATCAAGTTAATGTTGAAAGTATTTTCTTGTTCAGATGAAATTTACCATAAATATGAGGTAAAGATTTACCATTGGGTTAAGAAGAAGGAAAATATCAGTGTAAGTTGAAATCAACCATAATTTTCTCTGACATCAGGATAAATTGTAGACAATTGTCAAGTTAACAATGCTTTTGACGTCTTCAGGTTACTATTCTCACATATCCACCCTGGCAGATGTATCAGAAAATGTACAGGTAAGTAAAAACTTGATTTATCTTTTCATGAAGTAGCTTAATTGAATATTTATCAAGGTGTTCACCATACATACCTCAACATTCACTTTGGTATATACATTGTACCTGGTTCTGATTTACATGTACTTAATTACATTATAAAAGCCAGTATCTGTACCTGAATACAGACTGTGTAACTGTTATTTACTGTATTACCCAAACCATATCCAAGATACCTATTTTAGGGTAACCCTCAGTAATTCAGTATTCTACTTCCATCATTACCTGAAGGTATTGAGTCCCTTAATGTAATAAGGTAGGGTAACCCTCAGTAACCCAGTATTTTACTTCCATCATAACCTGAAGGTATTGAGTCCCTTAATGTAATAAGGTAGGGTAACCCTTAGTAACCCAGTATTTTACTTCCATCATTACCTGAAGGTATTGAGTCCCTTAATGTAATAAGGTAGAGTAACCCTTAGTAATTCAGTATTTTACTTCCATCATAACATTACCTGAAGGTATTGAGTCCCTTAATGTAATAAGGTGGGGTAACCCTTAGTAACCCAGTATTTTACTTCCATCATTACCTGAAGGTATTGAGTCCCTTAATGTAATAAGGTAGAGTAACCCTTAGTAACCCAGTATTTTACTTCCATCATAACCTGAAGGTATTGAGTCCCTTAATGTAATAAGGTGGGGTAACCCTCAGTAACCCAGTATTTTACTTCCATCATAACCTGAAGGTATTGAGTCCCTTAATGTAATAAGGTAGAGTAACCCTTAGTAACCCAGTATTTTACTTCCATCATTACCTGAAGGTATTGAGTCCCTTAATGTAATAAGGTGGGGTAACCCTTAGTAATTCAGTATTTTACTTCCATCATTACCTGAAGGTATTGAGTCCCTTAATGTAATAAGGTGGGGTAACCCTCAGTAATTCAGTATTCTACTTCCATCATTACCTGAAGGTATTGAGTCCCTTAATGTAATAAGGTAGAGTAACCCTTAGTAACCCAGTATTTTACTTCCATCATTACCTGAAGGTATTGAGTCCCTTAATGTAATAAGGTGGGGTAACCCTCAGTAATTCAGTATTCTACTTCCATCATTACCTGAAGGTATTGAGTCCCTTAATGTAATAAGGTGGGGTAACCCTCAGTAATTCAGTATTCTACTTCCATCATTACCTGAAGGTATTGAGTCCCTTAATGTAATAAGGTGGGGTAACCCTCAGTAATTCAGTATTCTACTTCCATCATTACCTGAAGGTATTGAGTCCCTTAATGTAATAAGGTAGGGTAACCCTCAGTAACCCAGTATTTTACTTCCATCATAACCTGAAGGTATTGAGTCCCTTAATGTAATAAGGTGGGGTAACCCTCAGTAACCCAGTATTTTACTTCCATCATAACCTGAAGGTATTGAGTCCCTTAATGTAATAAGGTGGGGTAACCCTCAGTAACCCAGTATTTTACTTCCATCATAACCTGAAGGTATTGAGTCCCTTAATGTAATAAGGTGGGGTAACCCTCAGTAATTCAGTATTCTACTTCCATCATTACCTGAAGGTATTGAGTCCCTTAATGTAATAAGGTGGGGTAACCCTCAGTAACCCAGTATTTTACTTCCATCATAACCTGAAGGTATTGAGTCCCTTAATGTAATAAGGTGGGGTAACCCTCAGTAACCCAGTATTTTACTTCCATCATAACCTGAAGGTATTGAGTCCCTTAATGTAATAAGGTAGAGTAACCCTTAGTAACCCAGTATTCTACTTCCATCATTACCTGAAGGTATTGAGTCCCTTAATGTAATAAGGTGGGGTAACCCTTAGTAACCCAGTATTTTACTTCCATCATTACCTGAAGGTATTGAGTCCCTTAATGTAATAAGGTAGGGTAACCCTCAGTAACCCAGTATTTTACTTCCATCATAACCTGAAGGTATTGAGTCACTTAATGTAATAAGGTGGGGTAACCCTCAGTAACCCAGTATTTTACTTCCATCATAACCTGAAGGTATTGAGTCCCTTAATGTAATAAGGTGGGGTAACCCTTAGTAACCCAGTATTCTACTTCCATCATTACCTGAAGGTATTGAGTCCCTTTATGTAATAAGGTAGGGTAACCCTCAGTAACCCAGTATTTTACTTCCATCATTACCTGAATGTATTGAGTCCCTTTATGTAATAAGGTGGGGTAACCCTCAGTTATGAAGTATTCTACTTACAGCATTACCTGAAAGTATTGAGTCGCCCTATGGTGATACAGAAGAAACGTAACCCAATCTGGACACCTGTATATGCTGATTACTCCACAGAAGTCTCACCTGATCTCTCTGAGGTAAGTATTTATTTAATTATCTGGACTTTACATCACTAGAAGTTGAGTGTACAGGTTGCCTTACTTAAGACTCGTCTAGTGGGAGTTTACCTTTATTCGATTGGTAAAGTGTCTGGCTAGACACTGAAGGGTCACTAGTTCAAACCCTAGTGGTGGCAGGGTGTTTTTCATTACTCCTTCCTATTACAGATTTGATGCTGTTGACCACTGCAAGAGTAGAAGTTATAAGAGATCAACATGCTTCTTTGGAGATATTGAACCTGGGTTTTTGTTGTCCTATGGGGTCGAAGACTTTGTGAAGGCAGGAGTAGTGTAGATTGAACAGGTCGCCTTACTAGCCTCAGTGGGAATTTCCTTTTAGTTGAGCAGTAGATTGTCTGGCTAGAGACCGAAGGGTCACTAGTTTGAATCTCAGTGCTGACATTTTTTGTTACTCTTTCTTGTTACATGTATACTGATACATCTCCCTATCCTTTAGCCTAGATTTAGCTGTCTTACAAATTAACGATGGAAAGCAGGGGACTTAATTTCTTCAAATTTGATTGTTGTTAATTGATCCAGTCTTAATCTACCTGCAGGTAATCACTCCAGATGGCTGTGGTCCTGTGAACCGTTCTCAGTAACAAAGTCCTTTACATTATATAGTGTAGGGGAAGTTTATTGATGTTATTAGGGTATCTAATGGGTTATCGGAATGCTGGTGTTTATACATTGGTTTATTCTCAGCTAAATACAAGTGATAGAATGATCTTGACACTAGGTAGAATTGCCTCGAGTTCGTTTACTACAGTGTTAATTAACTGTCTTTAGTTTGTTACCTACAGGGAAAATTAACTGTCTGAAGTTGAACTACAGTGTTAATTAACTGTCTAAAGTTTGTTACCTACAGGGAAAATTAACTGTCTGAAGTTGAACTACAGTGTTAATTAACTGTCTAAAGTTTGTTACCTACAGGGAAAATTAACTGTCTGAAGTTGAACTCCAGTGTTAATTAACTGTCTAAAGTTTGTTACCTACAGGGAAAATTAACTGTCTGAAGTTGAACTACAGTGTTAATTAACTGTCTAAAGTTTGTTACCTACAGGGAAAATTAACTGTCTGAAGTTGAACTACAGTGTTAATTAACTGTCTAAAGTTTGTTACCTACAGGGAAAATTAACTGTCTGAAGTTGAACTACAGTGTTAATTAACTGTCTAAAGTTTGTTACCTACAGGGAAAATTAACTGTCTGAAGTTGAACTACAGTGTTAATTAACTGTCTAAAGTTTGTTACCTACAGGGAAAATTAACTGTCTGAAGTTGAACTACAGTGTTAATTAACTGTCTAAAGTTTGTTACCTACAGGGAAAATTAACTGTCTGAAGTTGAACTACAGTGTTAATTAACTGTCTAAAGTTTGTTACCTACAGGGAAAATTAACTGTCTGAAGTTGAACTTCAGTGTTAATTAACTGTCTAAAGTTTGTTACCTACAGGGAAAATTAACTGTCTGAAGTTGAACTACAGTGTTAATTAACTGTCTAAAGTTTGTTACCTACAGGGAAAATTAACTGTCTGAAGTTGAACTACAGTGTTAATTAACTGTCTAAAGTTTGTTACCTACAGGGAAAATTAACTGTCTGAAGTTGAACTACAGTGTTAATTAACTGTCTAAAGTTTGTTACCTACAGGGAAAATTAACTGTCTGAAGTTGAACTACAGTGTTAATTAACTGTCTAAAGTTTGTTACCTACAGGGAAAATTAACTGTCTGAAGTTGAACTACAGTGTTAATTAACTGTCTAAAGTTTGTTACCTACAGGGAAAATTAACTGTCTGAAGTTGAACTACAGTGTTAATTAACTGTCTAAAGTTTGTTACCTACAGGGAAAATTAACTGTCTGAAGTTGAACTCCAGTGTTAATTAACTGTCTAAAGTTTGTTACCTACAGGGAAAATTAACTGTCTGAAGTTGAACTACAGTGTTAATTAACTGTCTAAAGTTTGTTACCTACAGGGAAAATTAACTGTCTGAAGTTGAACTACAGTGTTAATTAACTGTCTAAAGTTTGTTACCTACAGGGAAAATTAACTGTCTGAAGTTGAACTACAGTGTTAATTAACTGTCTAAAGTTTGTTACCTACAGGGAAAATTAACTGTCTGAAGTTGAACTACAGTGTTAATTAACTGTCTAAAGTTTGTTACCTACAGGGAAAATTAACTGTCTGAAGTTGAACTACAGTGTTAATTAACTGTCTAAAGTTTGTTACCTACAGGGAAAATTAACTGTCTGAAGTTGAACTACAGTGTTAATTAACTGTCTAAAGTTTGTTACCTACAGGGAAAATTAACTGTCTGAAGTTGAACTACAGTGTTAATTAACTGTCTAAAGTTTGTTACCTACAGGGAAAATTAACTGTCTGAAGTTGAACTACAGTGTTAATTAACTGTCTAAAGTTTGTTACCTACAGGGAAAATTAACTGTCTGAAGTTGAACTACAGTGTTAATTAACTGTCTAAAGTTTGTTACCTACAGGGAAAATTAACTGTCTGAAGTTGAACTACAGTGTTAATTAACTGTCTAAAGTTTGTTACCTACAGGGAAAATTAACTGTCTGAAGTTGAACTACAGTGTTAATTAACTGTCTAAAGTTTGTTACCTACAGGGAAAATTAACTGTCTGAAGTTGAACTACAGTGTTAATTAACTGTCTAAAGTTTGTTACCTACAGGGAAAATTAACTGTCTGAAGTTGAACTACAGTTGAACTACAGTGTTAATTAACTGTCTAAAGTTTGTTACCTACAGGGAAAATTAACTGTCTGAAGTTGAACTACAGTGTTAATTAACTGTCTAAAGTTTGTTACCTACAGGGAAAATTAACTGTCTGAAGTTGAACTACAGTGTTAATTAACTGTCTAAAGTTTGTTACCTACAGGGAAAATTAACTGTCTGAAGTTGAACTACAGTGTTAATTAACTGTCTAAAGTTTGTTACCTACAGGGAAAATTAACTGTCTGAAGTTGAACTACAGTGTTAATTAACTGTCTAAAGTTTGTTACCTACAGGGAAAATTAACTGTCTGAAGTTGAACTACAGTGTTAATTAACTGTCTAAAGTTTGTTACCTACAGGGAAAATTAACTGTCTGAAGTTGAACTACAGTGTTAATTAACTGTCTAAAGTTTGTTACCTACAGGGAAAATTAACTGTCTGAAGTTGAACTACAGTGTTAATTAACTGTCTTTAGTTTGTTACCTACAGGGAAAATTAACTGTCTGAAGTTGAACTACAGTGTTAATTAACTGTCTAAAGTTTGTTACCTACAGGGAAAATTAACTGTCTGAAGTTGAACTACAGTGTTAATTAACTGTCTAAAGTTTGTTACCTACAGGGAAAATTAACTGTCTGAAGTTGAACTACAGTGTTAATTAACTGTCTAAAGTTTGTTACCTACAGGGAAAATTAACTGTCTGAAGTTGAACTACAGTGTTAATTAACTGTCTAAAGTTTGTTACCTACAGGGAAAATTAACTGTCTGAAGTTGAACTACAGTGTTAATTAACTGTCTTTAGTTTGTTACCTACAGGGAAAATTAACTGTCTGAAGTTGAACTCCAGTGTTAATTAACTGTCTTTAGTTTGTTACCTACAGGGAAAATTTACTGTCTGAAGTTGAACTACAGTGTTAATTAACTGTCTTTAGTTTGTTACCTACAGGGAAAATTAACTGTCTGAAGTTGAACTACAGTGTTAATTAACTGTCTAAAGTTTGTTACCTACAGGGAAAATTAACTGTCTGAAGTTGAACTACAGTGTTAATTAACTGTCTAAAGTTTGTTACCTACAGGGAAAATTAACTGTCTGAAGTTGAACTCCAGTGTTAATTAACTGTCTAAAGTTTGTTACCTACAGGGAAAATTAACTGTCTGAAGTTGAACTACAGTGTTAATTAACTGTCTAAAGTTTGTTACCTACAGGGAAAATTAACTGTCTGAAGTTGAACTACAGTGTTAATTAACTGTCTTTAGTTTGTTACCTACAGGGAAAATTAACTGTCTGAAGTTGAACTACAGTGTTAATTAACTGTCTTTAGTTTGTTACCTACAGGGAAAATTTACTGTCTGAAGTTGAACTACAGTGTTAATTAACTGTCTAAAGTTTGTTACCTACAGGGAAAATTAACTGTCTGAAGTTGAACTCCAGTGTTAATTAACTGTCTTTAGTTTGTTACCTACAGGGAAAATTAACTGTCTGAAGTTGAACTACAGTGTTAATTAACTGTCTTTAGTTTGTTATCTACAGGGTTAATTAACTGTCTTAAGTTTGTTGTTTGCAGGGTCTAAAGTTTTTGACATCCTATGCATTGCCTGTGTTTGACACAAAAGAAAACTCTGTGAGTATCATACCAAAGTATAAAGGTATTTTGTTTTATTTCTCGTTTTAATTCTCGTTTGATATGCAGTTTCAGGGCCTCACACCTTTTTACACATAACTTGCTACATAAGGTGCCCCTAAACTACCTTCTGCTATAGTGTTTTTATCATGGATGTGCTATTTGTTGCTTTGAAAGCAAAAAAAAAAAGGGCTTAACTAACTGTGAAGGATAAAGAATTAGTTATGTTAAGGATATATGATAGATTATGTTACTGTAATTTAACAAAGTTGATGTGTATATTACATGATAAATTCCACTGCTGAATGTTTTAGTACATAGTTCTATGGGAAGAGTGCTACTCTTTAAACCCTCAATAATTAAGGGGTCAAAATTGATTCGCAATGGCACAGGAATCCAAATTAACTCCCAGTGTCTCCAGGAAAATTAACTCCCAATGACTAAGGGATCAAAATTAATTCCCAATGACTCCGGGATCAAAATTCTAAATGACCAAGGGATCAAAATTAATTCCCATGACTCAGGGATCATAATTAATTCCCAATGACTCAGGGATCAAAATTCTAAATGACTAAGGGATCAAAATTAATTCCCATGACTAAGGGATCAAAATTAATTCCCATGACTCAGGGATCAAAATTAACTCCCAATGACTCAGGGATCAAACTTAACTCCCATGACTAAGGGATCAAAATAAATTCTGAATGAGTAATGGATTAAATTAACTAAAGCTAGAAATAAAGAATAAGTCACTCAGAATTTGAAAAGTGTAACTTAGAGGGAAGAAAAACATACTGAATTATTTTAATGACTTGATACCACTATCCTATTCTGATGTATTTTACTAATAATACTGATATTATGTGTAATATCCTTGATATGTTGAGCTTGTCATAATGACAATGGTGTATGAAGATTTTAAGAGAGGTAAACTGTGATCAAGGTTTGATATTATCATCTTACTGTTCGCCCATATAGAATCTATTACCTCTTATGTTTTGAAACATGTTATAAAACTCAATGAACACAAGACCCTATTTTGTCTTAGAGTTATGCCCCTTTTAAGGACACATTTACGTAATACATGTCTTGTGTAACACTGCTTATTCTCTATACCCATTCTTTAAAAATCTTGTATGAATTCCTCTTCAATTGAAAATGTTCACCACTAAATTAAGCCTGATTTACTTATTAATTATTTTTTTTACCAGAGAAAAGAAGGTAACTTGCTGGGAGTTGTAGGAACAGATGTTCCTGTAGATCAAATCAAAGCCCGTATCCCTTACAACAAGGTTAGTGCAATACAATTTTGAGAAGTCTCTTCAAAGAAAACAAATATACATGAATTTGGAAAAATATTCTACAAGTTTTGATAGACTGATAAGTTACCATGATGTTGTTCTGTTTTAGCTTGGCCCTAGCGGGTATGCCTTTGTTGTTACCTCCCAAGGATATGTCCTATTCCATCCAAACCTCCGCCCATTCTATTTTAAGGTATGTAGAATATAAACACATGATCTCTTTAGAACAAAACCATTGGTCCAATAAGGACAAATGTAATTAAGAAATTTACTCAAATTTTGTATCATCTTCCTCTGGACACAGAAACTTATATCACTGTTTGTTGCACTTTATTTATCATAAGTATTGAGTAATTCACATACACTGACAAAGTTAAATATCAAAAGTCCAAAGCTGAAGAGCAGTCAAGTAATTCACTGGATACAAATGTTATGAATGTATATGCAATTAATTTCAGAACTATTTGTTTTGTGTATATTTGTTATGTATATATTTGTAGAGACAGTCTCCAGAACTAGGACTGAAAGCCAACTTCAGTAGTATAGATATCACTGAAGTGGAACATGTACCTAACAAAACAGACCTGGATATGGTAAGTCTATATGTAGCATGTAAACCAACATACATAGGATTACACGGCTCTTCTGATCCATATACAAATGTACATATATGGAAATGAAACCTCAATGATATAAGTTTTGATGGTTCATTTGGTCTATAGCAATGGAGATTTGGACATAGATAGGTTACTTGATGATGATGGTAGCCATCTTGAAAATTTTGTTAAATACTGCTTCTGCACAAATTTATCTGGATGAGACAGAGCTGTCATTAATACCTTGTAGTTTATCTTTCTAATTTTCTTTTCAGTTAAGACTGGAGATTTTAAGAGCCTCAGGTTATGCAAATTACAGCATCAAAAACGTCATAGTGCCTTATGATGGAAGAGTAAGTATAAAACACCCACAGAGCTAGCTGTTTCTTTAAGTACTGGATGGATCTTTCTCACATTTCATTTATAGATTTTCCTTGGTCCTTGTTGTGTCCTATTGATTTTGGGACTGATCAGAGAAACAAAAATGGTTGACAGGTGGCCATCTTGGATTTGGCAGATTATTTCCATTCCTTAAGAGGAATCTTTAATTTTAACTTAACAAAAGCAGAAGAAAGATGAAAAAGGAAGAGAAAAGATCCAACTTTTAAAGAACACATAAAGATCAAATGATGGCTGACATCAAGATCTCTCTGGGATCTCTTGTTTTAGTTAATATGCCTTGTCAGAAAATTTATATTTGAATTGCTTTTGAGTAGACCAACTCTGAGAGAAATTTTTATATAGTAGGAATGTTTGGTTTTATTCATTGTCTGATTTCAGAAGCGTGTGTCTATTGTCGACCTCACCTATCATATATACCCCATAGGAGAAACAGGATTTAAGTAAGTATATACAACCAGACCTCTCATATATGCAATCCATTCAGTATATACTAATTTGTTCATCATGTTGGCTGCTGTGTTTGTTTTAACCAGAAATATTTTGGGGCCCTGGGATCAACTGTTTTGTGCATCATTTAGCTATAGTGTATCTCTCACTCATTGCAATGAAAGCTTCCATTTATGTGAATGTCATTGAACACCAAAGTTTGATAAAATCCTTGTGAAGATACCTAACTTTGATTTCAGATTGGTTTTTGCTGTGCCTACAAATTATGGTACTACACTTGTAAATACCAGAGCGAAATATGGAACAAGTAAGTCAAGTCAGAGTGACTGTTCAGTTTAGTTCTTAATTAAACAAAATAATTGGCTTGTGTGTAATCTTTTTATGCTATCCAAACATGGGAGATATAGTTGCAGCTTTGTCCATCCGTCTGACCATCTTTCAGTCCTTTTTTTTCATGTTGGAGAACAACTTTACCCACATTTAATCAGGGATCATGAAACTTGGGTGGTGCATACATTAATGATACTAAGGCAATGCACATTGTATCATATTTCAGGGCCTGTGACTCGTCCATTACAGAGTTTTTCCCCTCGTTAAAATTTTATGTCTAGTGCTTGCATCAAAACTAAGATTATAAAACTTGGTGTATGCATTGGTTATGCTAAAAGCATTTGCAGTGTACCAATATTTGGACCTGCAACCCCATTAATTACAGTCATACTAGGATGATTTACACTGGGCCAAATTCGTAGTTGAAACCCCTTTGTTACAGAGTTATTGCCCTTTGTTAAAGTTTTGTGTCTAGTGCTTGCATTAAAACTAGGATTATGAAACTTAGTGCATACATTAATGATACTAAGGCAATCCCCATTGTATTAAATTTCAGGACCTGTGACTCCTCCATTACAGAGTTATTTCCCCTCGTTAAAATTTTGTGTCTAGTGCTTGCATCAAAACTAAGATTATAAAACTTGGTGTATGCATTGGTCATACTAAAAGCATTTGCAGTGTACCAATTTTTGGGCCTGCAACCCCTTAATTACAGTCATACAAGGATGATTTACACTGCGCCAAATTCGTAGCTGAAACTCCTTTATTACAGAGTTAATTTCCTTAAAAGTTATGATAATAGACATTTGATCGATGGTGTTTTATTGTTTTTGTTTTTATATTTATACAGCTTGATTTATTGTAAATAAGTATGAAATGGACACCTTTGTACATTTGAATGTCTTTTGTAATTTTTGAGTAAGAACACTTTGAGATTAAAAATTACCTTCATTAACTTAGTAAACAGATTCCTTCCTAGAAAATCAGATGTTTCCTGAATTATGAAAGAGTGTTTACTTGAAAATATGCTGAAAAAATATAGTTTTATTATTACTTGCACTTGTGCACAAGCTGAAATATTGACTTCTGAAACTGGCACTTGTGTTTATGTCAAAATCTATATCTTCTGACTAATGATCATGATGGCTGTTTTCTTTGTTATTCAGGCACCAGTCAATGAAAAATTAACTTTATATGTGTTTTTAATTTTATCATTTAGTCACTGTCCTTTTAATTTACTTTTAATTTACTCTCCCAAACTATTAAATGTTCACAAATGGCCTCATAGATTGTGTCAGCTCACCAAATAAACATGTGTACTCTTAGGTATTGGTTTCTACCGCAAGTTAATTACCGTCTCAATTAACTTCTCTTATTGATTAAATCCATGGCATGGGCAATAACTAAAAACTTGCTGACTGACAAATACGTCCAGAATATCGAAGGAAATATCAATAAGAAAAGTCCTTTTATTACTTAAAAAATCATTTTCGGAAACAACTGGATTCTTTCATTTTTGGAGTGGTGGATATAAATAATGATGTAGAAATCTCTTACTAGAGCCCTGCATATTGTGAAAGTACATATATATTTAATCAAAATACCACAGCTATACACATACTGCTGAATATGCTATGAAATTATGATAAAATATTTTGCAACTTTTGTTATCTTAAGAAAACTTGCTGTGATTTGATCTTATAAAGATGAATGGGAAGTCAAAAAATCTAAGACCTCCATTTTCTCCATAAGAAGGGGGATCACTGGATAATCTGTGTCACACTAGCACTCCTGGGATTTATTTTGTATTTCAATATTTAAGCTTTCGAAAAAAAACCATTATTTCAATGTAATTAAAGTGCTTTTTGAATCTATAAAAAATTTTATGTAAACCTGATCTAGTTAAAATGTTACAGCCAAGCACTTCTATATCCCCACCTAGCTGATGGAAGGAGGGCGTTATATAATTATCACTTTGTTTATGTGTCCATTTTCATAAAGCTTGTGTATGGTGAGCATTTACTCAATGTATTTATATTTTATTTTTGTGTGTAAATACATCACTTCAATTGAATGCAATTGCCCAGTAACTATAAATTATGATAAATCATTAATATTAGTTTTGTGTCTGTAATTTATAGCTTTGTAATTCATTATCTTGTTGGCATCAGTGAAACTCACTCAGATTTCTTCCATTTCAGACGAAGAGGCCTATTTCATGGATAAAAATACTAGATTTGCTCCTTGGTAAAGTATTAAGCTAATCCTGTTGTACCAATACATGAATCCTTTAAATTGTTGTATGAAAACCATTGAGGATAAAATGGAAGAAAGATATCAACTTTTAGACATTTACATTGATGATTATTAGAAAGGGAAAAAATTATCATTCACTCATTATGTTACATTGAAAAATCACATGTTCAGTAATGAGATGGATTGTTAAAGACAATAATGATATGGGTCGTTAATGACAATAACAAGATGGATTGTTAAAGACAATAATGATATGGGTCGTTAATGACAATAACAAGATGGATTGTTAAAGACAATAATGATATGGGTCGTTAATGACATTAACAAGATGGATTGTTAAAGACAATAATGATATGGGTCGTTAATGACAATAACAAGATGGATTGTTAAAGACAATAATGATATGGGTCGTTAATGACATTAACAAGATGGATTGTTGAAGACAATAATGAAATGGGTTGTTAATGACAATAACAAGATGGATTGTTAAAGACAATAATGATATGGGTCGTTAATGACAATAACAAGATGGATGGTTAAAGACAATAATGATATGGGTCGTTAATGACAATAACAAGATGGATTGTTAAAGACAATAATGATATGGGTCGTTAATGACAATAACAAGATGGATGGTTAAAGACAATAATGATATGGGTCGTTAATGACATTAACAAGATGGATTGTTAAAGACAATAATGAAATGGGTCGTTAATGACAATAACAAGATGGATTGTTAAAGACAATAATGATATGGGTCGTTAATGACATTAACAAGATGGATGGTTAAAGACAATAATGAAATGGGTCGTTAATGACATTAACAAGATGGATTGTTAAAGACAATAATGATATGGGTCGTTAATGACATTAACAAGATGGATTGTTAGAGACCATAATGATATGGGTCGTTAATTACAATAACAAGATGGATTGTTAAAGACAATAACAGATCATTAAAGAGAAAACTAGTAGAAACTTCTTTTAGACATGTTTGATTTGTTCTTTAAATGTTGTTTACCTTACAGGAGGTTCTGTAAAAATGATGAGATAGCTCTGGCAAAAGGAGAAGAAAGGAAACGGTTACTGTATCGTAGTTTTTATATTGAAGGAGGGAAGTGTAAGTATACCTAGTGTTGGTGTCATCCCCTGGGATCATACATTTGTGAACAAATAGGTTTCCATGTGGATGCTGAAATATTTACTCTTAGGTCTCTTTTTCACATTTTTAAAAGTTTAGCTTTTTGCATTACTCCACAAAGATCTAAACTATAAGTAACAATTTTATAATCATCTGGGTTTTATATCTTATAAAATATCAAGGCTCCCTTTTGTCCTTAGCTAGTTTTACTCATCTGATTATGGGAATGATCAGGAAAAAAACAAAATGGTTGACAGGTGGCCATCTTGGATTATTACTATAAAAATATGTTATCACAATTCCTTGGGAAGTATATTGAATTGATCTTTCTCTGATTTCATATATAGGTTTACCTTGGTCCCTTTTAATAAAGATAGTAGAAAAAACAGAAAAATTTATCCAACTTTTATTTAAAGTCGAAATAAAGATCAAACAGTGATGGGTGTCAAGATCTTTTTGGATCTCTTGCAACAGCTTTCATTTGAGCCTATTTCATATTCACAGGTGAGAGCAATCAGATGGCTGTATTTGATGTTACATGTTTACACGATGTGGTGCAACTGTGGAAGTCAGTGTCAACATTCGAGGATACTAAAACGAGGTATTGTAGTGTTAGCACAACAACATTGTATGTATAGAACAAATAATCTTCTCTTGTCATTCACTATTATATATATATATATATATATATACTGTGATATAACACTCTCCTCTCACTTATAGTAACCATCATCAGCAGTGAACAGTTCTCATTGTTAATTCATTTAGATTGTAATCACAAAAAGTGTAGATCAATATTTGTTAACAGCTATAAAAATATTTACCTTTAAACTACAACCTTTTTATTATCAAATAACAGTGTAGTGCAAGATTAAAGCCAGATTAAAACCTTCTGTTAAATTTAACAGAAACTGATTTTTTGATGAAATGTCAGATCAGAGTTTTGAAAGGTGACAGCTCTTCATATACTGAAGGTAAATGTGTAATTATCAGCTTCCTGGAGGTAGAAAATGTTGTCCCATATCTATGATATATTTACATATTTGATAATATATTTGAAATATTTTGGACAAATATAGATCCGGTGAAATAAGTAAATATGGCACTAAGTTTTTGTTTATCAGACACATTCCAAAATGACTTGTTTTGAACTTAAAACAAGTATAATCAAGATTTTAAATAAACATGTAAAACTTACATCCCTGATGATAAAATAATCTTGGATGTAACTAAATCTAGATGTGTATTACAGTGTACTAGATATTATTGTATAGTGTACTAGTGTACTGAATACAAAATAGCTAATGCTTCTACCAATTCCCTGAAGTGAAGAGAAAATATGAAAAGCAGTTTTGAAAGTCATAAAGAGTGATTTAGCTGACCGGTCATTTATTTGTAGACTTTAATTAATTATCATGCGAATTAAAATGACTTGGCAGATTAGTTACTATTCCTTGTCGGGATCTTTAGCTCAGTGTTCACGAGATCTTGACAGGGAACATTGGACTATATACCCTGCCAAAGATATATAACTAATAATATATTACAGCCGTATATCACACATTACACATGCTTTTATATCCTAAATTATCACAGCTGTTCATTTTTGGTTTGATGTATGTTTATATAACCTGCCTTCCTACTATATATATATACATGTATATATAATCAGTATCTTCTCTTGTATACTTTAGCACTTTATGTAATTGTTTCCGTTTAATTCAGCGTTATATAATATCATAAATGATACTCTTAATCACAGGTATCCTTGAGACCTGGTAACTACAACCTTCTGGCACTATATTCCATATACAGGTACCATAAAGCTGGTTATTTTAGCAGGGATGATATTTTTGCTGTTTCGCGATCATTAACATGGTCGCAAAGATAAAATCTGAAATGATGAGATACGTGTGTAAAGATATCCTTCTAAATAAAGATTATGAAATTTCTTTATTCATTAAAATATTAATTGATCTTGAATATGTTGACCCAGGAAAGCTACCAGTTATACAGATATACTATGATATCCCTGTCTATAAAACTTGTGATAGTCCCAGTAAATCTCCCGTACTATAATATCCCTGTCTATAAAACATATGATAGTCCCAGTAAATCTCCCGTACTACAATATCCCTGTCTATAAAACATGTGATAGTCCCAGTAAATCTCCCGTACTACAATATCCCTGTCCGTAAAACATGTCCCAGTAAATCTCCCGTACTATAACATCCCTGTCTATAAAACATGTCCCAGTAAATCTCCCGTACTATAACATCCCTGTCTATAAAACATGTCCCAGTAAATCTCCCGTACTATAACATCCCTGTCTATAAAACATGTCCCAGTAAATCTCTGTCTATAACATCCCTGATAGTCCCAGTAAATCTCCCGTACTATAACATCCCTGTCTATAAAACATGTGATAGTCCCAGTAAATCTCCCGTACTATAACATCCCTGTCTATAAAACATGTCCCAATAAATCTCCCGTACTATAACATCCCTGTCTATAAAACATGTCCCAGTAAATCTCCCGTACTACAATATCCCTGTCTATAAAACATGTGATAGTCCCAGTAAATCTCCCGTACTACAATATCCCTGTCTATAAAACATGTGATAGTCCCAGTAAATCTCCCGTACTACAATATCCCTGTCTATAAAACATGTGATAGTCCCAGTAAATCTCCCGTACTACAATATCCCTGTCTATAAAACATGTCCCAGTAAATCTCCCGTACTATAACATCCCTGTCTATAAAACATGTCCCAGTAAATCTCCCGTACTATAACATCCTTGTTTATTAAACAAGTGATCTCTATATGTATATCTGTATGTAATGAGTATTTAGTTAAGAATTGTTGTATGAACCTCCAGAGCAGCAGCATTGCCATCTTCCTTATATCAGGTCATGACCAGCTGAAACAAGGGTGAAAGGTTGAATTTATTTGATAACCTTATAGGTCAAACAAGTGGGTCGCTCATGGTGGTCTAAATAGCATGTTGACCCAGGGAAATCGGGTGAATTACCAGTACTGAGAGAAATAAAGTGTGATTCTTTCCTACTGTTAATTCATCCAATTGTACTTTGTGACAGCAACTACACCCATTGAGGATGTATGTCAGCACTAAGTGAATTTAACATATTAAAATGGTTTGTTTATTCTCATTCTACACTTTATTATTAGGGAAATTTTTCATTTTGTGCCAGGTTCATTTTTTGTGCCTTCCATTTGTCCCCATAAACCAAAAGTGCCTCTGCCATCTTGTCATCCTTTTAAACAAAGCTGCACACCTGCTACCTAATTCTCCCTTTTAAGCAGAACTGCACCCCTGCTAACTAATTATCCCTATAAACAGAGTGTGCCCCTACTATTACTCTGACCCTGTCATTCAATCTCTATAATTTAAGTCCGCCCTTGCATTCTCAGCATCCCTGAAAATTAACTCTGCCCATGTCAACTTATCATCCCTTTAAACCAAGTCTGCTCCTGTCATTCAATCTCTGTTATCTAAGTCTGCCCCTACTAAATTATCATCCCTATAAACCAAGTTTGCCCCTGCCATCTTATCATCCTTATAAACCAAGTTTGCCCCTGCCATCTTATCATCCCTATAAACCAAGTTTTCAGCCTACTAAATTATCATCCCTATAAATCAAGTTTGCCCCGTCATCTTATCATCCTTATAAACCAAGTTCGCCCCTGCCATCTAATCCCTATAAACCAAGTTTGCCCCTGCCCTCTTATCATCCCTATAAACCAAGTTCGCCCCTGCCATCTTATCCCTATAAACCAAGTTCGCCCCTGCCCTCTTATCATCCCTATAAACCAAGTTCGCCCCTGCCATCTTATCCCTATAAACCAAGTTTGCCCCTGCCCTCTTATCATCCCTATAAACCAAGTTTGCCCCTGCCATCTTATTATCCCTATAAACCAAGTTTGCCCCTGTTATTCAATATCTATAAACTTTGTCTGCCCCTATCAACTTATAATCCCTGTAAACCAAATTTGACAATGCATTTTGAAAACCTTTGACATTAGATATATAACATTGCAGATTTTAAACATTAGATACATAACAATACAGATTTTAAACATTAGAGATATAACAACACAGATTTTAAACATTAGATATATAACATTGCAGATTTTAAACATTAGATATATAACAACACAGATTTTAAACATTAGATATATAACAACACAGATTTTAAACATTAGATACATAACAATACAGATTTTAAACATTAGATATATAACAACACAGATTTTAAACATTAGATACATAACAATACAGATTTTAAAATTAGATATATAACAACACAGATTTTAAACATTAGATATATAACAACACAGATTTTAAACATTAGATATATAACATTGCAGATTTTAAACATTAGATATATAACAACACAGATTTTAAACATTAGAGATATAACAACACAGATTTTAAACATTAGATATATAACAACACAGATTTTAAACATTAGAGATATAACAACACAGATTTTAAACATTAGATATATAACATTGCAGATTTTAAACATTAGATATATAACAACACAGATTTTAAACATTAGAGATATAACAACACAGATTTTAAACATTAGATATATAACAACACAGATTTTAAACATTAGATATATAACATTGCAGATTTTAAACATTAGATATATAACAACACAGATTTTAAACATTAGAGATATAACAACACAGATTTTAAACATTAGATATATAACAACACAGATTCTAAACATTAGAGATATAACAACACAGATTTTAAACATTAGATATATAACATTGCAGATTTTAAACATTAGATATATAACAACACAGATTTTAAACATTAGAGATATAACAACACAGATTTTAAACATTAGAGATATAACAACACAGATTTTAAACATTAGAGACATAACAATACAGATTTTAAACATTAGAGATATAACAACACAGATTTTAAACATTAGATATATAACAACACAGATTTTAAACATTAGAGATATAACAACACAGATTTTAAACATTAGATACATAACAATACAGATTTTAAACATTAGAGATATAACAACACAGATTTTAAACATTAGATATATAACAACACAGATTTTAAACATTAGAGATATAACAACACAGATTTTAAACATTAATATATAACATTGCAGATTTTAAACATTAGATATATAACAACACAGATTTTAAACATTAGATATATAACAACACAGATTTTAAACATTAGATATATAACAATACAGATTTTAAACATTAGATATATAACAACACAGATTTTAAACATTAGATATATAACAACACAGATTTTAAAAATTAGATATATAACATTGCAGATTTTAAACATTAGATATATAACAACACAGATTTTAAACATTAGATATATAACAACACAGATTTTAAACATTAGAGATATAACAACACAGATTTTAAACATTAGATACATAACAATACAGATTTTAAACATTAGAGATATAACAACACAGATTTTAAACATTAGATATATAACATTGCAGATTTTAAACATTAGATATATAACAACACAGATTTTAAACATTAGATATATAACAACACAGATTTTAAACATTAGATATATAACAACACTGATTTTAAACATTAGATATATAACAACACAGATTTTAAACATTAGATATATAACAACACAGATTTTAAACATTAGATATATAACAACACAGATTTTAAACATTAGATATATAACATTGCAGATTTTTAGATATATACAACACAGATTTTAAACATTAGATATATAACAACACAGATTTTAAACATTAGATATATAAACATTAGAGATTTTAAACATTAGAGATATAACAACACAGATTTTAAACATTAGATATATAACATTGCAGATTTTAAACATTAGATATATAACAACACAGATTTTAAACATTAGATATATAACAACACAGATTTTAAACATTAGATATATAACAACACAGATTTTAAACATTAGATATATAACAACACAGATTTTAAACATTAGATATATAAAAACATAGATTTTAACACACATCTTGTGAACAGTTAAGGCACCTCCTGAATTTCAATGTAAATGTTCAGTCAGTTGTTATTTTTTGCCTAGATGAAAGCATGCAAGAGTAGTACCTAAGGAAAACCACTTGGTCTTTGACATTACATGTAAATAAGTTGAATATGACATAAACAAAGCAAAAAAACACTCCTGAAGGTTTTGATGCCCCTGAATTTTTTTTTTTTTTTTGGGGGGGGGGGGGGGGGGGGTGGTCATACAGTTGCTGTTTTTCTGTCTGTCCATCCTTTTGTGTCCAGGTAGAACTTTCCCCACAGTTAAACAAGGGACATGAAATTTGGTGTTTACATTGGTTATATTTAATATTGAATTAATGTGCAGTGTACCAAAAACAGGCTTACAACCCTTCCATTACAGAGTTATTGCCCTTTGTGAAAATTTCTTTTGTAGAGCATAACTTTTTTTAAGAGCATAACTTTGCTTTCATTTAAACTAGGATAGTGAAACTTGGTGTATACATTTGGCATACTAAGAGGATGTAGTTTACTAAATTTAGGGTCTGTAATCCCATAATTGCAGAATTATTGCCCATAATTAAAACTTAGCAACAAATATACTTGTTTTTGGGGAGCATTTATCAATTTCTCTGATAAATATATTCTTTTTTTCTTTTTATGCTCACCCTACCAAAAGGGCCCGGTGAGCTTACTATAATATGCTTTGATGTGGGCTGGGTTGTCTATCTGTCCAAGGTCAAATTATTTCCTCAAACAATTTCTTCCCAATGACCAAGAGGCAAAATGTCATCAAATTTTGGTTGGTAGGTTCCAGGGATGAAGCACCACAAAATTTGCAAAAAAGAAATTACCTTGACATTTGTTAAAACACACAAACAACTTTTTCTGATTAACTGGCTGGTAGGTTTCTGGGATGAAGCTTGACAAATCTTACTCAAGATGGTGACCTTTACCCATTTTCAAAGACACAGTTGTCAAATTTGTTAAAATACTCAAAATGACTTCACCTGCCTATAAAACTGTGTTAATTAATGTCCTCCACAACAGAATCCTTTAGCTGTAGACAAGTAATGTTTACCTTGCTGTGTAATCATGATAGCTGCAAAGTCATAAACAAAAGTTTGATTCAGACATTTTTATATCTGTTGGTTATGTTTAGGTGAAAACATTAAATAACAAGTGAATGATGCAGGTCCTTTGGGCCTCTAGTTGTTTTATGTCCTGTTACATTTATGGTTGAAAGCATATAGTTTATCTCTACCATTGCCAATCATTCTATCAAAATTTTCTCTCGTTTCCTCTTTAATAGATACAGATACAGAACTGTTATTTGGTATGTCAGTGTGTAATGATAATAAGCCAGTCAGGGTTGTTTTAGTCAATTCATTTTTAGGTCATCTGGTCAACCACCATGGCCACCATCTTGAAAAACACATTATAAACTTCTCAAGTTCTGCATGCAAGATTGATCTGAAACTTTGCATGAATTATCCAGAGATATTGACCAAGGGTTCAAATTTTTCGGGTATGTCCGAAATCCAAGATGGCCACCAAGGCTGCCATCCTTATAAATACATTTTAAACTTTGTTCCAAGTTCCACTAGTATCATCGAGTTGAATATTGAAGGGAATCAACAAAGTGATTTTATTTTTGGCAGCCATTTTGTATTATGATTGTGCAGTCATGGTTTTCTTAAACAATTCTTGTTTTAAACTTCTTCATAAGTTCTACTTTAGGGATTCACCTCAAACATGCCTGAAATGATCCTGAGATGTTCCTGACCCAGGGGTTGTTAATTTTTAGGTCACTTCAAAATAAGATAAGGCCACCATCTCGAAAAGAGACATTTTAAACCTATTCTCCAGTTCTCTGGTGCTGTTGTGGTGAAGAAATATGAGGGCTGTGAAGAAACTAAAGTGAACAGTGTTGTTATTTTTGTTATTTCAACTCTTTAAAATAAAAGAATTGTTTTAATCATAGGTCCATGGGCTTCTTGTGTCCAGAATGATGGTAATATCAGTAACAATTTTGATAAAAAAAATTTATAAAAGCTTTAAGACCAATACTGAGAGCCTTGCCTAATTGTAGTAGATTTTGTTTTAGTTCTGTAGAAAAATCTTTGATTTTAAATCATGAATACACCTCTTAACAAAGCCAATCAGGCTTAAGTTCCCAACTTTTCCTTGGTTGCTGGGGGTGGCATATGTGTCGCTGACAATCAAAGTAAATTGTATTTTTAACGTTAGCTTCTGCAGGTCAAGTTGTAAAAAATTCACTTAAGTGTTTCATAAAATTCCTCTTCTTGGAGAAGTAAATGTCAATTCCTTTGAACAAATCATTAAAATGACCTAAAACATTAGTTTAACAAATTCACTTTTTATCACAGTTTAATTGTACAATGTGCACATCATTATATATTTCTTACTGATAATAAGCTTGTTCACCAACCACTCACCTGTGTAGATGTACACATTGAAAGACTGGAACCTGCTTCCTTATGACATATTGAGAGGGAGTCACCTGTACGTCACAAACAAAAATTCTCTACTCTTCAGTGTTGTGTTTTTCCCCTTTCAGCTACTATGCATCAAATTTCTCTGTCCAGCTTTTCGGAAATAAGTACGTACAAGTTTGTATCATTGTCGAAGGTTTTCTTCTTTTCTGACCTCTGATGACCTCTATTGTTTGTTTCTCTTCCTTTCTGACCTCTGACCTCTATTGTTAAGAGAAATTAAACTAAAAATAAAAAAAAATGACAAAATTAACGGTAACTGGGATGTGTTCAAAATTACTTCTACATGTAATGACTTCAGTGTATAGATCTTTCATTTTTTGAACAGCACAACAATTGTTCAAAAAATTAAAGTATACCAAATCAATAATTTTAGAAATGATGGCTAAATATTTGCAAACCCAGGTTGCACTGATTTTTCTACTAACTATAGAGGTCTAACCAGATTCCTTTGTGTTGTGTATAATTGTATTTCCTGGAATCTACAGGTAATGTATGTGTTATGTAGGTGTTTAGAATGGAGCGTACTAGCTGTAGAATTTCATTTTAGTGGTTTTTTTAAGGACTTACTTTTATTATTTTTCTTGTTATGAAGTCGTAACACAAAAAACAAAGTTAACTCTAAATAAACCTTGAAGCGGTTCATGTTAATTGTACACTCTGCGTTTTTGTGTTATGGATCAGTAACATATAAATATTTAAAGAGAATCCTTATAATTTAATTAGATTACAATATTTCAGACATTTTGGTATACCACTGCAGTGGCCAAACATGACATTATATAAAGGGCTCCAATATTTTAATGTTATGAGGTGATAACATGAAGCAATTGTCCAATGAAAATGCTTGTTGCATAAGAATCAATTTATGTTATCATAATATCAGCTTAGCATGAGATTGTAGTATTTGAATTTTTTTTATTTGTTTATTATTTTTTTCATAATTTATCAAAATTGCTTACAATCTTTCAAAATTTAAATTACTAGTGACATAGAAAAGAAAAAAAAATATATTCACATGTCATAGGTGTTGTTAAAAGACCACACACATTTTGCTGAACTTTAACCTTTCTTATAGAGATAACATGATTGAACTTCACATTATAGTACCATCTGAGATTTGTATGAACATTTGTGTTTATAGCTACCTTGTTAAAGTCAACAGTTTTACTTCTTATGCTGAGCACAAGTTCAACATTTTATCAGCAAATGAGAAAAAAAAATTGTTACAAATTACATGTACTCTGTGTGTCTAGCCATGTATATATTACACTGTAGGTTTTACTGCGTGTTTAACTCTGTGTAACCTGTAGGTTTTACTGCGTGTTTAACTCTGTGTAACCTGTAGGTTTTACTGCGTGTTTAACTCTGTGTAACCTGTAGGTTTTAATGCGTGTTTAACTCTGTGTAACCTGTAGGTTTTAATGCGTGTTTAACTCTGTGTAACCTGTAGGTTTTATTGCGTGTTTAACTCTGTGTAACCTGTAGGTTTTACTGTGTGTTTAACTCTGTGTAACCTGTAGGTTTTAATGTGTGTTTAACTCTGTGTAACCTGTAGGTTTTACTGTGTGTTTAGCTCTGTATATTAAATGTAGGTTTCAATGTGTGTTTAGCTCTATATATTAAATGTAGGTTGAACTGTGTGTTGAGCTCTTCACCTTCCCTGTAGATTTTACAAACGTGTTTACTACGTGTTTCAAGATGAACAATCAGATGACCTATTGCAGTATTGCATCATCCATTGTCATCCGCCATCTGTAACCTTTTCCTTTAAAACACTACTTCTGCTTAACACCTCGGTGGATTGCAACCAAAGTTGGTTTTAAATATTATTTGGAGCAGGGGAATAATTTCTTAAATTCAGCAATTTTATGTGACCCCTAGGGACAGGGCCCCAAAAGGGAAAATTAGACAATATTTTGCTTTTAAAATGCTACTCTTTCTGAATGTCTTTTTAGATTTCAACCAAATTTAGTGCGAAACATTATTGCATGTGGGTTTTATCATATGTTAATTTAAGAAAGTTTGATAAATCGACCCCTAGAGACTTGGAGGTTAAGCCCCAAATGGTAAAAGTTAGTCAATATTTTGTTTCAAAATGATGCTCTTTCTGAATGCTTGAATGGATTTCAAACAAAATTTGGTCTGAAACATCATTGAGCGTGAGAAATAATTTTGTAAAATCAGAAAGTTGATTCAACCCCAAGAGACTTGAGAGCGAGGCCCCAAAAGGGAAAATATTTGCTTTAGAATGCTACTCTCCCTTAATACTTAAATGGATTTCATTCAAATTTTGTCCATAACATCTGTAGGGGTTGGCAAATAATTCTTAAATTTAGAAGGTTGATTTGACCCCTAGGGACCGAATCGGTCAATTAGTCAATAATTTTGCTTCAAAGCGCTACTCTTCTTTGGATTTAAACCAAATGTGGCACAAAACATCATTGTTTGTGGAGAATCATTTCTGAAATTCAGAGAATTGATTCAACCCCTAGGGACTTAGAGGCGGGGCTCCAAAAGGGGAAGTTAGATATTATTTTGCTTCAAAACGCTACTCTTTCTTAATGTCAGGGTAAATTTCAACCAAATTTGTCCTGAAACAAAGTCAGGGAGTGGTAATGATATCAAACTTTCCTGAAGTGATCCTGAGATTGTCCTGACTATATCTTGATTTTACGCTTTGGTCCAAAATCCAACTTGTGTTTCATTCACACTAATGAGAAAATTGAGAAAAGTATCTGGAGTTTGATTATTTTTAAAGAAAGAAAGAGATGATTTGTGCATCTGTTTTTCATGCTGAGAACCTACCATTTATGATTTTCTAATACTTTCAAGGAGTGTTCAAAATTTTAATTCATCAGATTTATTGGATGACTGGTAAGGGTCAGTGCCCTCTTGTTACTGTGTGATATATCTGTGTGTCCAGTACATTATTATAGATATAACTGTGTGTCCAGTACATTGCTATATAGATATATCTGTGTGTCCAGTACATTACTATGTAGATATATCTGTGTGTCCAGTACATTGTTATAGATATAACTGTGTGTCCAGTACATTGCTGTATAGATATAACTGTGTGTACAGTAATTACTATGTAGATATAACTGTGTGTCTAGTACATTGCTATGTAGATATATCTGTGTGTCCAGTACATTGCTATGTAGATATATCTGTGTGTCCAGTACATTGCTATGTAGATATATCTGTGTGTCTAGTACATTGCTATGTATGTATTACTAAGCATTTTAGCTCTAACTGTTACCTGTTGTTTTATCAAGTGTCACTTGAAATTGTTACTTTGTGCTAAACCCCTTGTGTTACCTGTTGGTTTTAATGTGTTACCTGTTGGTATTACTGTAGGTTATAGTGTGTGTCGCCTGTAGGTTTTACTGTGTGTTTAGCTCTTTGCATTATGCGTAGGATTTTACTGAGTGGTTAGCTCTTTGTGTTATGTGTAGGTTTTACTGAGTGGTTAGCTCTTTGTGTTATGTATAGGGTTTTACTGAGTGGTTAGCTCTTTGTGTTATGTGTAGGTTTTACTGTGTGTTTAGCTCTTTGTGTTATGTGTAGGTTTTACTGTGTGTTTAGCTCTTTGTGTTATGTGTAGGTTTTACTGAGTTATTAGCTCTTTGTGTTATGTGTGGGTTTTAGCTCTTTGTGTTATGTTGTGTTATGTGTAGGTTTTACTGTGTGTTTAGCTCTTTGTGTTATGTGTAGGTTTTACTGAGTTATTAGCTCTTTGTGTTATGTGTGGGTTTTACTGTGTGATTAGCTCTCTGTATTATGTGTGGGTTTTACTGAGTGATTAGCTTTTTGTATTGTGTAGGTTTTACTGTGTGATTAGCTCTCTGTATTATGTGTGGGTTTTACTGAGTGATTAGCTCTTTGTATTATGTGTAGGTTTTACTGAGTGATTAGCTCTCTGTGTTATGTGTAGGTTTTACTGTGTGTTTAGCTCTTTGTGTTATGTGTGGGTTTTACTGTGTGTTTAGCTCTTTGTGTTATGTGTGGGTTTTATTGTTTTACTGAGTAAATATCTCTTTGTATTATGTGTAGGTTTTACTGAGTTATTAGCTCTTTGTGTTATGTGTGGGTTTTACTGTGTGTTTAGCTCTCTGTATTATGTGTGGGTTTTACTGAGTGATTAGCTTTCTGTATTATGTGTGGGTTTTACTGAGTGATTAGCTCTCTGTTATGTGTAGGTTTTACTGAGTGGTTAGCTCTCTGTATTGTGTAGGGTTTACTGTGTGATTAGCTGTCCGTGTTATGTGTAGGTTTTACTGAGTGGTTAGCTCTCTGTATTGTGTAGGCTTTACTGTGTGATTAGCTCTCTGTATTATGTGTAGGTTTTACTGAGTGATTAGCTCTGTATTATGTGTAGGTTTTACTGAGTGATTAGCTCTGTATTATGTGTGGGTTTTACTGTGTGATTAGCTCTGTATTATGTGTGGGTTTTACTGTGTGTTTAGCTCTCTGTATTATGTGTGGGTTTTACGGTGTGTTAAGATCTCTGTGTTACTTGTAGACAGTTGTTATTTTGGAAAGTTAATCAAATTACATAGTATTTCTGGTTTTATTTTATTATATAACTTTCCAGTTATTGCTTAAATTTATGGAGCATCTCACCAGGAAGATAGCTGACCTTTAAAGGTCAATCTTTTGTAACTTTTTCGATAACCAGTCAGAAAACACAAATAACATCAGACGAAAAAAATCCTGAATATCTGTATACTGGTGATACTCTCAGATTTACAGCAGGAAGAAGTGACATTTAAGATATTCATTGTAGTCATGTGACTGTTGTCAGGGTTCTTATTGTTACAGACATGTTTTTTCTGTAGAGGTGTTTTGTTTCAGAAGATAATTGAATTACTTTTCTTTTTTATCGAGATTTGAAACATTCATGTTTAAATGAACATTGGTAGTTAGAAGAATGTAGATGTGAATCATGTTTTCAGCATGCTGATTTTTGCTTGCAGTAATTTAAACTCAATCAGAGTCTTTATTTTCAGGTATTACATTTATATTTCAAAGTCTTGCCAATGTTTGATACTACACAAAACTTATATCATTTATAACATTGAGTAAGGATACTTAATATTGATGTGATCATTGACCTAAATGTCTACTGACCATTACTTATTCTTGGTTAGTTAGTGTTCAATTGATCAGATACTCAGCTGTGTGTGGTGTGTTTATACTGTCACTTCTGTAGAACTCACAATCTGGATGATACACTTAGAACATTATAAATTGTAGGGTTAGCATGGTGAAATGTCCTGAATCAGAACATTATCAATCTGTAGTGTTAGCACTGTGAAATGTCCTGAATCATAATATTATTTTATATCTGTGGGGTTATGTCTATATGATATCATAAACTGTAGAAATATACTTACCAACTGTAGATATACAGGCTTCAGTCTTCGTTTGGAGAAATATCTATTGAAGGAGAACTATATAAAGGACGAGATAAATTGTATGTATGGATGCATTGAGGTAGGACAAGATAAAATATCTTTTGAGGAAAATCTAGATTACTTATCTTATATGGAAGGTCTAGATAAAGTGTGTATAGAGGAAGAACTGAATTTTATTGAGGATAGAGTTGATCAATTATGTATGAAAGTGGGACTAGGTAAATATCTTTTCAGAAAGGACTAAATAAATTATGTATGAAGGTAGGACTAATTAAATGATCTATTGAGGAAGGTCGAGATAACTTATCTACTTAGGAAGGACTTGATACATTATGTATAAAGGAAGGATTTGATAGATTATTGAGGTAGGTGTATGCTACCTCACAGAAGTGACTCATGTTGTTTGAAAAAATGTAAGCTTCCCTGCCTGTAGTGTGGCATCAATCCATCAACTTTTGTGATAAAGTTTTGTTTGTATACTGTAGTTAAGATGAAGCAGACTTGATTTGATATAACCTTATGTCTTACCCATTGGGTCCTTGCACTGCCCAGAAGTGGAAATTCAAGCTTTTAAACCTTTTTTCGATGAAGGTATTTTCTATTAAATTTGGCCAGAAGCATCCTTCTAAGAAATGGAGCAAAGTTAGTGTAAAGTGCGAGTTTGGGAATTCCAAGAGCTTGAGAGGTTTGATCCAGTTATGGAACTCAAACAGATTATTTTAAATTCTTCCTCTGGAGGAATGGCATAATTTTGTCTTCATTCTATCAGAAATGAATTGGACCCAGTTTTGTATTAAATCAATGGGTCTGTTAAACCTCTTACAGCAGAGGGAGGGGGCCTTCTATCAATAATGAATTAAGTTAATGTTACATTGATACCATTTATACTGATCAGTTGCTGTGGATATTATCTAAAATGTTTGTAAATGTTCTAATCCACAGACATGGTATAGCATTGATCTTCCTGGGAACAAAGAGTGGTGTGACACGATTCCTTAACACAGATCTCTTCCCCTCCAGTATGTAAGTACACACAGTTCCTGAAAATAGCCCTCTTCCCCTCCAGTATGTAAGTACACACTGTTTCTAAACACAGACCTCTTTCCCTCCAATATGTAAGTACACACAGTTCCTTAACACAGACCTCTTTCCCTCCAGTATGTAAATACACACAGTTCCTAAACACAGACCTCTTCCCCTCCAGTATGTAAGTGCACACAGTTCCTTAACACAGACCTCTTTCCCTCCAGTATGTAAATACACACAGTTCCTAAACACAGACCTCTTCCCTTTCAGTATGTAAGTACACACAGTTCCTTAACACAGACCTCTTCCCCTCCAATATGTAAGTGCACACAGTTCCTTAACACAGACCTCTTCCCCTCCAGTATGTAAGTACACACAGTTCCTAAACACAGACCTCTTCCCTTTCAGTATGTAAGTACACACAGTTCCTAAACACAGACCTCTTCCCTTTCAGTATGTAAGTACACACAGTTCCTAAACACAGACCTCTTCCCTTTCAGTATGTAAGTACACACAGTTCCTTAACACAGACCTCTTCCCCTCCAGTATGTAAGTGCACACAGTTCCTTAACACAGACCTCTTCCCTTTCAGTATGTAAGTACACACAGTTCCTAAACACAGACCTCTTCCCTTTCAGTATGTAAGTACACACAGTTCCTTAACACAGACCTCTTCCCTTTCAGTATGTAAGTACACACAGTTCCTAAACACAGACCTCTTCCCTTTCAGTATGTAAGTACACACAGTTCCTTAACACAGACCTCTTCCCTTTCAGTATGTAAGTACACACAGTTCCTAAACACAGACCTCTTCCCTTTCAGTATGTAAGTACACACAGTTCCTAAACACAGACCTCTTCCCTTTCAGTATGTAAGTACACACAGTTCCTTAACACAGACCTCTTCCCTTTCAGTATGTAAGTACACACAGTTCCTAAACACAGACCTCTTCCCCTCCAGTATGTAAGTGCACACAGTTCCTTAACACAGACCTCTTCCCCTCCAGTATGTAAGTACACACAGTTCCTGAACACTTTCTCCCACAATTCAATCTCTGAACAATAACAAGTATGTTTTTATATTTGCCTTTGTTTGAGTGTGCTGGTGTGGACCTTTACTTTTTTTAGAGTCTGTTTGATTGGTTTATCTGATACCTGAACTACTTAATCAGTGAAATTTATAACATTGAGTTAGGATACTTAATATTGATGTGATCATTGACCTAAATGTCTACTGACCATTACTTATTCTTGGTTAGTTAGTGTTCCATTGATCAGATACTCAGCTGTGCATGGTGTGTTTATACTGTCACTTCTGTAGAACTCACAATCTGGATGATACACTTAGAACATTATAAATTGTAGGGTTAGCATGGTGAAATGTCCTGAATCAGAACATTATCAATCTGTAGTGTTAGCACTGTGAAATGTCCTGAATCATAACATTATTTTATATCTGTGGGGTTAGCACTGTGAAATGTCCTGAATCAGAACATTATAAATCTATAGGGTTAGCATGGTGAAATGTCCTGAATCAGAACATGATACATATGTAGTGTTAGCACTGTGAAATGTCCTGAATCATAACATTATCTTATATCTGTCGGGTTAGCACTGTGAAATGTCCTGAATCAGAACATTATAAATCTATAGGGTTAGCATGGTGAAATGTCCTGAATCAGAACATGATACATATGTAGTGTTAGCACTGTGAAATGTCCTGAATCATAACATTATATATCTGTCAGGTTAGCACTGTGAAATGTCCTGAATCATAACATTATCTTATATCTGTCGGGTTAGCACTGTGAAATGTCCTGAATCAGAGCATTATAAATCTATAGGGTTAGCATTGTGAAATGTCCTGAATCAGAGCATGATACATCTGTAGTGTTAGCATGGTGAAATGTCCTGAATCAGAACATTATATATCTGTCGGGTTAGCATTGTGCAGTGTCCTGAATCAGAACATTATATATCTGTCGGGTTAGCATTGTGAAATGTCCTGAATCAGAACATTATAAATCTGTGAGGTTAGCATGGTGAAATGTCCTGAATCAGAACATTATAAATCTGTGAGGTTAGCATGGTGAAATGTCCTGAATCAGAACATTATATATGTCGGGTAAGCATTGTGAAATGTCCTGAATCAGAACATTGTATATGTCGGGTTAGCATTGTGAAATGTCCTGAATCAGAACATTGTATATGTCGGGTTAGCATTGTGAAATGTCCTGAATCAGAACATTATATATGTCGGGTTAGCATTGTGAAATGTCCTGAATCAGAACATTATAAATCTGTGAGGTTAGCATGGTGAAATGTCCTGAATCAGAACATTATATATGTCGGGTAAGCATTGTGAAATGTCCTGAATCAGAACATTATAAATCTATAGGGTTAGCATGGTGAAATGTCCTGAATCAGAACATTATAAATCTGTGAGGTTAGCATGGTGAAATGTCCTGAATCAGAACATTATAAATCTGTGAGGTTAGCATGGTGAAATGTCCTGAATCAGAACATTATATATGTCGGGTAAGCATTGTGAAATGTCCTGAATCAGAACATTGTATATGTCGGGTTAGCATGGTGAAATGTCCTGAATCAGAACATTATATATGTCGGGTTAGCATGGTGAAATATCCTGAATCAGAACATTATAAATCTATAGGGTTAGCATGGTGAAATGTCCTGAATCAGAACATTATATATCTGTCGGGTTAGCATTGTGAAATGTCCTGAATCAGAACATTGTATATGTCGGGTTAGCATGGTGAAATGTCCTGAATCAGAACATTATAAATCTGTGAGGTTAGCATGGTGAAATGTCCTGAATCAGAACATTATAAATCTGTGAGGTTAGCATGGTGAAATGTCCTGAATCAGAACATTATAAATCTATAGGGTTAGCATGGTGAAATGTCCTGAATCAGAACATTATAAATCTGTGAGGTTAGCATGGTGAAATGTCCTGAATCAGAACATTATATATCTGTCGGGTTAGCATTGTGAAATATCCTGAATCAGAACATTATAAATCTATAGGGTTAGCATGGTGAAATGTCCTGAATCAGAACATTATAAATCTATAGGGTTAGCATGGTGAAATGTCCTGAATCAGAACATTATAAATCTATAGGGTTAGCACTGTGAAATGTCCTGAATCATAACATTATCTTATATCTGTCAGGTTAGCACTGTGAAATGTCCTGAATCAGAACATTATAAATCTATAGGGTTAGCATTGTGAAATGTCCTGAATCAGAGCATGATACATCTGTAGTGTTAGCATGGTGAAATGTCCTGAATCAGAACATTATATATCTGTCGGGTTAGCATTGTGCAGTGTCCTGAATCAGAACATTATATATCTGTCGGGTTAGCATTGTGAAATGTCCTGAATCAGAACATTATAAATCTGTGAGGTTAGCATTGTGAAATGTCCTGAATCAGAACATTATATATGTCGGGTAAGCATTGTGAAATGTCCTGAATCAGAACATTGTATATGTCGGGTTAGCATTGTGAAATGTCCTGAATCAGAACATTGTATATGTCGGGTTAGCATTGTGAAATGTCCTGAATCAGAACATTATATATGTCGGGTTAGCATTGTGAAATGTCCTGAATCAGAACATTATAAATCTGTGAGGTTAGCATGGTGAAATGTCCTGAATCAGAACATTATATATGTCGGGTAAGCATGGTGAAATGTCCTGAATCAGAACATTATAAATCTGTGAGGTTAGCATGGTGAAATGTCCTGAATCAGAACATTATAAATCTGTGAGGTTAGCATGGTGAAATGTCCTGAATCAGAACATTATATATGTCGGGTAAGCATTGTGAAATGTCCTGAATCAGAACATTGTATATGTCGGGTTAGCATGGTGAAATGTCCTGAATCAGAACAGTATATATGTCGGGTTAGCATGGTGAAATATCCTGAATCAGAACATTATAAATCTATAGGGTTAGCATGGTGAAATGTCCTGAATCAGAACATTATAAATCTGTCGGGTTAGCATTGTGAAATATCCTGAATCAGAACATTATAAATCTATAGGGTTAGCATGGTGAAATGTCCTGAATCAGAACATTATAAATCTATAGGGTTATCATGGTGAAATGTCCTGAATCAGAACATTATATATCTGTCGGGTTAGCATTGTGAAATATCCTGAATCAGAACATTATAAATCTATAGGGTTATCATGGTGAAATGTCCTGAATCAGAACATTATAAATCTATAGGGTTGGCATTGTGAAATGTCCTGAATCAGAGCATGATACATCTGTAGTGTTAGCATGGTGAAATGTCCTGAATCAGAACATTGTATATGTCGGGTTAGCATTGTGAAATGTCCTGAATCAGAACATTGTATATGTAGGGTTAGCATTGTGAAATGTCCTGAATCAGAACATTATATATGTCGGGTTAGCATTGTGAAATGTCCTGAATCAGAACATTATATATCTGTGAGGTTAGCATGGTGAAATGTCCTGAATCAGAACATTATATATGTCGGGTAAGCATTGTGAAATGTCCTGAATCAGAACATTGTATATCTGTCGTGTTTGCATTGTGAAATTTCATGTTTCTTAACATTATTTATCTTTAGTTTTAGCATGGTGAAATTTCCTGAATCAGAACATTATATATCTGTCGGGTTAGCATTGTGAAATATCCTGAATCAGAACATTATAAATCTAGGGTTAGGGTTGTCCTGAATCAGAACATTATAAATCTGTAGGGTTAGCATTGTGAAATGTCCTGAATATATGTCAGCAGCATCAGAACATTATAAATCCTGAATCAGAACATTATATATTAGCATGGTTAGCATTGTGAAATGTCCTGAATCAGAACATTATATATGTCGGGTTAGCATTGTGAAATGTCCTGAATCAGAACATTATATATGTGGGTTAGCATTGTGAAATGTCCTGAATCAGAACATTATATATGTGGGTTAGCATTGTGAAATGTCCTAGCATTGTGAGCATGTCCTGAATCAGAACATTATATATGTCGTGAGGTTAGCATTGTGAAATGTCCTGAATCAGAACATTATAAATCTGTGAGGTTAGCATGGTGAAATGTCCTGAATCAGAACAACATTATAAATCTATCGGGTTAGCATTGTGAAATGTCCTGAATCAGAACTTTGTATATGTCGGGTTAGCATGGTGAAATGTCCTGAATCAGAACATTATAAATCTGTGAGGTTAGCATGGTGAAATGTCCTGAATCAGAACATTATATATCTGAATCAGTTATATATGTCGGGTTAGCATGGTTAGCATGGTGAAATGTCCTGAATCAGAACATTATAAATCTGTGGGTTAATGCATGAACATTATATATCTGTGAAATGTCCTGAATCAGAACATTATAAATCTATAGGGTTAGCATGGTGAAATGTCAGAACATTATATATGTCAGATTGACATTATAAATCTATAGGGTTAGCATGGTGAAATGTCCTGAATCAGAACATTATATATCATGTGAAATGTCCTGAATCAGGTTATATATATGGTGAAATGTCCTGAATCAGAACATTATATATCAGAACATTATATATCTGTGGGTTAGCATGGTGAAATGTCCTGAATCAGAACATTATAAATCTATAAATGTCCTGAATCAGAACATTATAAATGTCCTGAATCAGAACATTATAAATCTATGGTTAGCATGGTGAAATGTCCTGAATCAGAACATTATGAAATGTCCTGAATCATCTAAATCTGTAGTGTTAGCATGGTGAAATGTCCTGAATCAGAACATTATATATATCTGGGTTAGCATTGTGAAATGTCCTGAATCAGAACATTATAAATCTATAGGGTTAGCATGGTGAAATGTCCTGAATCAGAACATTATAAATCTATAGGGTTAGTATAGTGAAATGTCCTGAATCAGAACATTATAAATCTGAATCAGAACATTATATATGTCGGTTAGCATGGTGAAATGTCCTGAATCAGAACATTATATCTATAGTTATAAATCGGAACATTATATATGTTAGCATTGTGAAATGTCCTGAATCAGAACATTATAAATCAGAGCATGGTGAAATGTCATATATGTAGGGTTAGCATTGTGAAATGTCCTGAATCAGAACATTATATATTAGCATGTGGGAATTAGCATTGTGAAATGTCCTGAATCAGAACATTATATATCTGTGAGGGTTAGCATGGTGAAATCTATTATAAATCTGTGGGTTAGCATGGTGAAATGTCCTGAATCAGAACATTATAAATCTGGGTTAGCATCCTGTCCTGAATCAGAACATTATAAATCTATAGGGTTAGCATGGTGAAATGTCCTGAATCAGAACATTATAAATCTATAAAATGTCCTGAATCAGAACATTATAAATCTATAGGGTTAGCATGTGAAATGTCCTGAATCAGAACATTATATATCTGTAGGGTTAGCATGTGAAATGTCCTGAATCAGAACATTATAAATCTATCATGGTGAAATGTCCTGAATCAGAACATTATATATCTGTCGGGTTAGCATGAAATATCCTGAATCAGAACATTATAAATCTATAGGGTTAGCATGGTGAATTGAACTGACTCAGAAGATTATAGATGTCTGGTTAGCATGGTGAAATGTCCTGAATCAGAACATTATAAATCTATAGGGTTAGCATGGTGAAATGTCCTGAATCAGAACATTATAAATCTATAGGGTTAGTATGGTGAAATGTCCTGAATCAGAACATTATAAATCTGTGGGATTAGCACTGTGAAGTGTCCTGAATCAGAACATTTTATGTATCTCTGGGGTAAGCACTGTGAAATGTCCTAAATCAGAACATTATAAATCTATAGGGTTAGCATGGTGAAATGTCCTGAATCAGAACATTATAAATCTATAGGGTTAGCATGGTGAAATGTCCTGAATCAGAACATTATAAATCTTTTGGGTTAGCATGGTGAAATGTCCTGAATCAGAACATTATATATCTGTAGTGTTAGCATTGTGAAATATCACAGAATTCCTAACTTTTGTCTCCTACAGAGAGTTCATCAACTTGAATGAAAGGACAGTTGACAGTATGTACTATAAACGTGCAGTAGAAGGACGAGTACAAGATGGCTACAACTTTACATTCTCTATGCCAATTGGGGAAGGTTGGTATTTATAACATCAATATCAAACTTAACATTATTAAGAAAACCTTGAATGATTTAATTTCCATCATCTAGAAATATAACAATAAAGCTACTTGAGGGTGGAAAATCTGGAAACTGGAAAAAAATGTTAATCAAATACACTTATTGAACAATTTTGTCAAAGAATATCTACATCATTTGTGTTTCTAGTGTCTCCCATATTGGCTGTGATAAGTGCACCTGTTCCTGTAATGACAACCCCTTATTTTTCATCCACTATATGTAAACTTTCCCTTTAAAAGCTATTCCCCTTTTAAACCCTGTAGCAGATTTCAAGTAAAGGACATTATTATTAAAATCCTTCTTCTTAGGGAATAACAGGATTTTGTCCAAATTCAGCCTTCAACATGCATGAGTTTAATAAAGACCTTAGGTTTGACCCCTCTGGGGACTGCTCAGGGTCCAGCAAAGCAAAATCCTCATCTTTCATCCTGATGAAGGGATTTCAGCTAAATCAAGCCAGTGGTAAGATAAACAGGAGGGACAGGTTTGCTTAATAAAAATTTGTATGTCACTGATATACCTATAAAATGATAACATATTCAATGTTTTATCCCACAGCCTACACTGGAGATGATAACAGTGTTATAACTATTAGCGTACCACTGGAAATCAATCACTCCCAGGTAGGACCTGCCAAAGATTTTTTCCCATTGGTACTTGGACTTCAGATAACATACCAACAATTCAAGCAGAAAATTGAAGATATCATCAAAAAATGTGGAAACATTACTGACTGTGATTTGCCCTGTAATAGTAGTGTAAGTATAACCAAAACTCCTGTTGTCATCTGTAGATGTAGCAGAGATAATTAAAATTTTAATTTTTTTTAACTTTGATAATGAGTGATTTTTTTATCTCTATTTCTTGAATTTTAATGAGACTTGCTTGGTAAACTTATTACATAATCTCCTCACTCAAGTTCAATTAACTGTGAATTCCATGCATATTTAATCATGGTGCTCTTGCCTGATTTCTTGAAACAGTCTTCAGGATTGCTTTCCACACTTCTTTCAAAGGAATTATCAATTTTTTTATGAGACTTGCTAAGCAGACTTAGTACCTTAACTACTCTTTTAAGTTATTAGCTAATTCTGCAAATATCTAATAAGGCAGCTGTGTCCTGAATGGCTGATTGCTTTGCACAGAATATCTTCTGAAGCAATAATAAGAGACCTTTATAAGACTATAAACATATCTCTTACTGATACCAAAGAATAATAATGATAAGAAACAGAACAATAAGTCTTTTCACCTGTTGGTAAACAGCCTCAATGAACCATTTCACTGTTTGGTCCTACTTGAGTGGTAATAGAATCATTGATTGATCCAGCATCACTAGAATTGAGTGACATATATTCTATCATTACTATTGGCTAAAAGAAGGGAATATAAAGGTATGATCAGCTGATTTTAATATCCACAGTATTGTGCTTCTTGTTGTTATTATATTGATCACTTTCAATGGAACTTTAAACTGAACATAAACAATAAATGGTTTCAATACTTTAGTTTTCCATATATTTCATAAATGAACATAGGCAGGAAATCTTGATGGCTATATAAAATGTCCTTATTTTTGTTGTTACAGCGTGTCAATTGTTACTTACTTGATAACAATGGTTACGTGATGATGAGTAAACACCACTCAGAGGTAAGCACCTAATATTTTTATATATATATATTATGGATTTTCTCCCTTTAAATGAAGGACACTATCTAAATTGTATATTGTTGATCAGTTTTGATGTTCTTCTAATGCAATCTGTCTTTGCCATAACTTTTAAACCACTAGAGGTATCTTGATCAAACTTTCAAATCTGCATCCCCCGCTAGCAATGTGCAATTTGCTAAAATAAGATCTTGGATCTTCATCACCAGATGAATTGTAAAATAAAAACAAAATTTTGAGTACATTTCTGTTCAAACAAAAATTTTTAAATTGTCAAAGATATTGTGGTGATACTTGAAACCAGCTGGATAACAGCAAGGTACCAATTAATTGATTTACCTGGATTTCAGGACTGAATAGGTTTTAATTTGCATCATTAAGAGAATCAGCAGCAAAACAATGAAGAAAATTTCAGAATCATGAAAAACAACTGAGCAAAATAATGCCATATTTTTTTTTTTATTTTATTTTAGAAATAACAAGATTATAAGATTAACATACAAAAAACGAAGACTTACAAAAGTAACTACTTGATTTGGTAAACAGTATTATGAATTGATTTTGTAAACACAAAGATTCAAAGGATGTTTCAGCGGGTGAAATATTCTTCACATTATCCTCTACATGTTTTCTTGAAAATGAAATGTTGACCAGTTTTGGAGTTGTTAACCTAGACTTTGAGATTGTAGTGATAAGCGTGATGTAAATCTTTGTACCAGAATGGTGGTTTCTTTGGTGATGTAAATGGAGGAGCTATGATGCGGGAAATGATAGACAGACATTTATTTCAAGAGTAAGTACAAAAACAATTTTTGCCCAATATTGTAATTAAAATGAATGTACTATTCTGTTTTCTATGTTCAGAGATTTGTTTACTTCTGATGGACCATACCTGACGCTCATTCTGTCAGGACTTGTCTCCCTTTTTATACATCATCAGACCATAGGTGATAGTGACTTATGGCGATCATTCTTCGTTCTCAGTAGCCTTTCATATTCAAAGGTCAAGGTCACCATTACTATAAATAGAAATGCATAGCTAAAGATAAAGCATACTGTATATTACTGATTTATATTTACTTATAATATTATAAATCATAAATGATAAGTCACTAAGAATAGCCCACCATCATCAGATGGTGGGCTATTCAAATCGCCCTGCGTCCGTGGTCAGTCCGTCCGTCCGTCCATCTTTCTTGTTACCGCTATTTCTGGAAAAGTGCTGGATGGATCTTTCTCAAATTTCATATGCAGGTTCCCCTTGGTCCCTAATTATGCATTTTACCTTTTTTGGACTGATCCGAAATCAAGATGGCTGACAGGCAGCCATCTTGGATTTTGAGAGTAAAATCTTGTTACCGCTATTTCTGAGGAAGTACTGGATGGATCTTTCTGATATTTCATAGATATTGGTTTCCCTTGGTCCCTAGTTGTGCATTGTGCCTTTTTTGGACTGATGTGAAATCAAGGTGACCCACAGGCAGCCATCTTGGATGTCGACTGTAATTTAGCACAAGCATATTTTCTAAGATATTCTATCATATTGATTCAAGACCATGTCCATTATCCACCTGTAACTGACTGCTATCTAATAATACTTTGGAATCTTTCTCAAATGATATTTGCTAATAGGTGCTTAATAAAAATATCTTGTGCCATCATCGAGTACATTCAATGAAGACCAGTTCATGAACATTTACAATACCTGTAACAAAAAACAAAAAAACAAATCTTCAAGAACTGAAAACAGATCCTCAAATGGTGGGCGCCAAGATCCCTCTGGGATCTCTTGTCAGTTTTAAGCTAAAACCATGTTAAATACACTAACATAATCAGGATGTGCTTTACTGGCTAGGGATATGAAAATGCTGGACTGGTATATATTATGACACAGCATCTCGCTTCCAAAAAGAAAGACCTAATCTGTTGAGCTTATCTGTGTAACATATATATGATATGAAGATTTTTTACCTTCCCAAAGGATACATTTTATGGACTATCAAGGTATGTGTGAATCAAATGATAAGGGAGAGGATGAAAGCTCGGCTCAGCATCTCATTAACGTAAGTAATGTAGTAATGAATAAACAAACTTAGTAGCATTTTATACCTAAACACATATTTACTGAAAACGGATTTTAAAATTCACCTTTGACATGTACCTCCTACAATAGGCCCTACTGTATACATGTTTATGATTTTGCCATGTGGTCTACCCAGCAGTGTGGCACAGCCTTACCTAGTCGCTGCTTTCCGAACAGAAAACTTTCTTACTCACAGGTCGATATCAATGAAGTTCACATTTCAACTTAAATTTATTTACAAAAAGAATTGTTTAGATTTTCTCATCCATGTGTTGTAGAAACAGAGCTTTTAGTTTAGCTTCATTTCTTGTTATTTGAAAAAAAAGTATTGATTCAAAGAAAACAGAAATTAGATGTAAAATGTAATGACATCTAATGCATATTTCTTCATTTTGTTACAGCCATTCAAAACATTATTAAGTGTGATTCTATGGACGTTTGGAGAAATAGCTTTGTAAGTATTTGATCAATATATGTATCTAAACCGTACCTGTTAATTGTATTGAAGTGTGAGTAGTATTTTATGAGAAAATGTTTTAGAAAGACGATATGTCGTAAGCAATTAAAATTCCTGGCAGGGTGTAAAGAGTATGTTATAGATATGCTGCTGAAAATAAAGGAGAAAATCATGCCAGTCATTGTTCAGCTATTATTTATTTACAAATATCTTTCCATGCCTATACAGATATTTAAATAACAAGATAAATTTTTTACAGGTTTTTATCAGAGTGGTCATTACAAAGCTGGTTCTATGGATACTATCAGTCTGAAGGTAAGATGGAGATCCTTGTACACCCAAACACATCTGTCTCCCTGAACTTTGCTAGTCCACCAAACACATCTGTCTCCCTGAACTTTGTTAGTCCACCAAACACATCTGTCTCCCAGAACCTTGTTAGTCCACCAAACATATCTGTCTCTCAAAACCTTGTTAGTCCACCAAACATATCTGTCTCCCATAACCTTGTTAGTCCACCAAACACATCTGTCTCCCAAAACCTTGTTAGTCCACCAAACATATCTGTCTCTTAAAACCTTGTTAGTCCACCAAACACATCTGTCTCCCAGAACCTTGTTAGTCCACCAAACACATCTGTCTCCCAAAACCTTGTTAGTCCTCCAAACATATGTCTCTCAAAACCTTGTTAGTCCACCAAACACATCTGTCTCCCCGAACCTTGTTAGTCCACCAAACACATCTGTCTCCCTGAACCTTGTTAGTCCACCAAACACATCTGTCTCTCAAAACCTTGTTAGTCCACCAAACATATCTGTCTCCCAGAACCTTGTTAGTCCACCAAACACATCTGTCTCCCAGAACTTTATTAGTCCTGCAAACACATCTGTGTCCCTGTACCTTGTTAGTCCACCAAACATATCTGTCTCTCAAAACCTTGTTAGTGCACCAAACACATCTGTCTCCCTGTACTTTGTTGGTACACCAAACACATCTGTCTCCCAGAACTTTGTTAGTCCACCAAACACATCTGTCTCCCAGAACCTTGTTAGTCCACCAAACACATCTGTCTCCCAGAACCTTGTTAGTCCACCAAACACATCTGTCTCTCAAAACCTTGTTAGTCCACCAAACACATCTGTCTCCCAGAACCTTGTTAGTCCACCAAACACATCTGTCTCCCAGAACTTTATTAGTCCTGCAAACACATCTGTGTCCCTGTACCTTGTTAGTCCACCAAACATATCTGTCTCTCAAAACCTTGTTAGTGCACCAAACACATCTGTCTCCCTGTACCTTGTTGGTACACCAAACACATCTAACTCCCAGAACTTTGTTAGTTAACCAAACACATCTGTCTCCTAGAACCTTGTTAGTTCACCAATCACATCTGTCTCCCAGAACCTTGTTAGTTCACCAATCACATCTGTCTCCCCGAACCTTGTTAGTTCACCAAACACATCTGTCTCCCAGGACCTTGTTAGTCCACCAAACACATCTGTCTCCCAGAACTTTGTTAGTCCACCAAACACATCTGTCTCCCCGAACCTTGTTAGTTCAACAAATACATCTGTCTCCCAGGACCTTGTTAGTCCACCAAACACATCTGTCTCCTAGAACTTTATTAGTCCTGCAAACACATCTGTGTCCCTGTACCTTGTTAGTCCACCAAACATATCTGTCTCTCAAAACCTTGTTAGTGCACCAAACACATCTGTCTCCCTGTACCTTGTTGGTACACCAAACACATCTGTCTCCCAGAACTTTGTTAGTTCACCAAACACATCTGTCTCCCAGAACTTATGGGGAAATATCGTAGCCAAATTACCATCAGTTAGCACTTATATCACATTGTATGAAATGTATCTCAACAACATGTCAGTAATTGAAAAGTGCAAGTACAAATTGTATACACGACAGTTGGTGATTGTTTACTCAAAATTAATCTTCCTTGATACAATGCATAACACTTATAACCATATAAACTAATGTTATCATATTCCATATTCCATCATATATGAACAAACATTTATTTTCAAAATGATTTTGCAAATAACAAAACAGAAAAATAATTATATACTTTATCATTTGACACAAGTATGTTTTTCAAAAAAAAAAGCATTCTTGTCTTTTAAACAACTTCAGATACATGGAACAATAATAGGGTTTGCCTTTTATGGCCTGAAAATGTTAGCTATTTAAAATAACTAGTTATAATTTGGAATATTTCTACACTTAGCACTAAAACAACTAAACAATTTTGTATGAAAACTTAAATAAAAGTTGAATTTTATAAGCAAAACCACAATCAATAGATAAAAAATGTAAATTTTTTGTATGTTGTAGGCCTTTAGTGTAAACCTGTAATGGTTATGATTATAAATACTAATGGTATTAGACAATAGATATGATACCAAGGTAATAAGCCTTTCAGCACCTCTTACTGTATAAACCAAATCTTGTTTCAGCTTCAACTGTACCGCCCACAGAATGCCCAACATTTGAATACGAGGAGGCAGAGATGACACCAGATCTGTTAGATATATGGTATTACCATTATAAGAAGTTTGCGCAGTGTAAGCCCAGTGTTGTGACAATCCCGTGTCATAAACGTATGACCCTCTACAAGGCTGATTTCAGAAATTTTCGTAGGCTACACATAAAAGGAACCATTAATGGCTGTGACAAATGCAATATGTAAGAAAATATTTATTATTTTGAAAATTAAGGTATGAGAAAGAAGAAAAATGTTCCTTTAAAGGAAACAATACATCAGTAACTGTTTCTGTAAATTACAAAAAGCATGGTGTTTTTAATTTGGTATTGGCTTTAGAAAGTGTCTGTGAGCTGTCTTTTTTTTATTGTTAGGTTGTCATTCTGAGTTGTGTTTACAGACAGATTTTGTTCGTGAGTTGTCCTTTAAAACTGATGGTGTATGTGAGCTGTCCTTTAAAACTGATTGTGTACGTGAGCTGTCCTTTAAAACAGGTTGTGTATGTGAGTTGTCCTTTAAAACAGGTCGTGTTTGTGAGTTGACCAGGTTGTGTTTGTGAGTTGTCCTTTAAAACAGGTTGTGTATGTGAGTTGTCCTTTAAAACAGGTTGTGTATGTGAGTTGTCCTTTAAAACTGATGGTGTATGTGAGCTGTCATTTAAAACAGATTTTGTTCGTGAGTTGTCCTTTAAAACAGGTTGTGTTTGTGAGTTGTCCTTTAAAACAGGTCATGTTTGTGAGTTGTCCTTTAAAACAAGTGGTGTTTGTGAGTTGTCATTTAAAACAGGTTGTGTTTGTGAGTTGTCCTTTAATACAGGTTGTGTTTGTGAGTTGTCCTTTATAACTGGTTGTGTTTGTGAATTGTCCTTTATAACAGGTCGTGTTTGTGAATTGTCCTTTAAAACAGGTTGTGTGTTTGTGAGTTGTCCTTAAAAACAGGATGTATGTGAGTTGTCCTTTAAAACTGGTTGTGTTTGTGAGTTGTCCTTTAAAACAGGTTGTGTTTGTGAATTGTCCTTTATAACAGGTCGTGTTTGTGAGTTGTCCTTTAAAACAGGTTGTTTGTGAGTTGTCCTTTAAAACAGGTTGTGTTTGTGAGTTGTCCTTTATAACAGATTGTGTTTGTGAGTTGCCCTTTGATACAGGTTGTGTATGTGAGTTGTCCTTTAAAACAGGTTGTGTTTGTGAGCTGTCCTTTAAAACTGATTTTGTTTGTGAGTTGTCCTTTAAAACTGATTGTGTTTGTGAGTTGTCCTTTAAAACAGGTCGTGTTTGTGAGTTGTCCTTTAAAACAGGTCGTGTTTGTGAGTTGTCCTTTAAAACAGGTCGTGTTTGTGAGCTGTCCTTTAATACAGGTTGTGTTTGTGAGTTGTCCTTTAAAACTGATTGTGTTTGTGAGTTGTCCTTTAAAACTGATTGTGTTTGTGAGCTGTCCTTTAATACAGGTTGTGTTTGTGAGTTGTCCTTTAAAACAGGTTGTGTGTTTGTGAGTTGTCCTTTAAAACAGGTTGTGTGTTTGTGAGTTGTCCTTTAAAACTGATTGTGTTTGTGAGTTGTCCTTCATAACAGGTCGTGTTTGTGAGTTGACCAGGTTGTGTTTGTGAGCTGTCCTTTATAACAGGTCGTGTTTGTGAGTTGACCAGGTTGTGTTTGTGAGCTGTCCTTTAAAACTGATTGTGTTTGTGAGTTGTCCTTTAAAACAGGTTGTGTATGTGAGTTGTCCTTTATAACTGGTCGTGTTTGTGAGTTGTCCTTTATTACAGGTTGTGTGTTTGTGAGTTGTCATTTAAAACAGCTTGTGTATGTGAGTTGTCCTTTAAAACAGGTCATGTTTGTGAGTTGTCCTTTAAAACAGCTTGTGTTTGTGAGTTGTCCTTTGAAACTGATTGTTTATGTGAGTTGTCCTTGAAAACTGATTGTTTATGTGAATTGTCCTTTGAAACTGATTGTTTATGTGAGTTGTTCTTTAAAACTGATTAAGTTTGTGAGTTGTCCTTTAAAACTGATTGTGTATGTGACCTGACCTGTTTATGAACTGACTTGTATGCTATTGATATCTCTGTCCCAGGTCATACGTGGTCAAGTGGATCAGAGACACCAACCTCATCTTTGTCATCACTTCAGCAGGCTGTGATTGTACGATGAGACCTGGTTTTGTTCAGCCAATATTTGGAGAAATTCCTGTCCATTATATCCTTAACTTGTACATCGACAATAGGACATGTGTAAAACATACTTTACATTTCCACCAGTAAAATTTAAGAAATTATCAATTTGATAAAAACTTGTCGCTGCAGTTATAATTGGGTAATTGAATATATGGATTCTGACATTAGTAACTAAGTCTGCACGAATAATGTCAAAAATTGTTTTTGCACAAGAGATGTGAATTGGTGATTGACTTTTCTCAGGTATGAATGCAAAAATACATCACAAGCGAAATATAAAGGATATACATTATCATCAATCAGTCAACATGTCACCATTATACAGGTGTTTAACGATATTCCCTACACTGTCATAAAAATCAGGCAACATGACACCATTATACAGGTGTTTAATGATATTCCCTACATTGTCATAAATCAGTCAATAAGACACCATTATACAGGTGTTTAGTGACATTCCCTACACTGTCATAAATCAGTCAACATATCACCATTATACAGGTGTTTAAGGAAATTCCCTACACTGTCATATATCAGTCAATAAGACACCATTATACAGGTGTTTAGTGATATTCCATACACTGTCATAATTCGGTTAATAACACACCATTATACAGGTGTTTAGTGATATTCCCTACACTGTCATAAATCAGTCAACATGTCACCATTATACAGGTGTTAAGTGACATTCCCTACTGTCATATATCAGTCAACATGACACCATTATACAGATGTTTAGTGATATTCCATACACTCATAAATCAGTTAATAACACACCATTATACAGGTGTTTAGTGATATTCCCTACACTGTCATAAATCAGTCAATAAGACACCATTATACAGGTGTTTAGTGACCATTATACAGGTGTTCCAGTACATTCCCTACTGTCATATATCAGTCAACATGACACCATTATACAGGTGTTTAGTGATATTCCCTACACTGTCATAAATCAGTCAATAAGACACCATTATACAGGTGTTTAGTGATATTCCCTACACTGTCATAAATCAGTTAATAATACACCATTATACAGGTGTTTAGTGATATTCCCTACACTGTCATAAATCATTCTATACTTTTCAATAATTACAGTTCATCATTATTTCATTGTGACTGACTATGTAGTAGTGAAAACTAACTCCAACTGAGTAAGGCAATGGTTGGTGATATATAGACAGGGAAAAAAATGTAATTTTTATTTATTACCTTAACCACAAGTTTACCAACAGAAGCACAGTTCTGCAGTCGTCTAAATAGACAGTCTAGTCAGAGAAGACAGTCCTTCAGCAGGAAAGGCACCAGGTGTATAGATGATGATAGAGTAAGTTGGACCCAACCAATACATATTATAAACCTGTATTAACAAAGTAATCAAATTGCTGCTGGTGACAGCTGAGAAATATAAACAAGTGGTAATTATAGACAGGTGAGTGTCATCAACAAGTGGTATTTATAGACAGGTGGTAATTATAGACAGGTGAGTGTCATCAACAAGTGGTATTTATAGACAGGTCGTAATTATAGACAGGTGAGTGTCATAAACAAATGGTAGTTATAGACAGGTGGTAATTATACACAGGTGAGTGTCATCAACAAGTGGTATTTATAGACAGGTGGTAATTATAGACAGGTGAGTGTCATCAACAAGTGGTATTTATAGACAGGTCGTAATTATAGACAGGTGAGTGTCATAAACAAATGGTAGTTACAGACAGGTGGTAATTATACACAGGTGAGTGTCATCAACAAGTGGTATTTATAGACAGGTGGTAATTATAGACAGGTGAGTGTCATCAACAAGTGGTAGTTACAGAAAGGTGGTAATTATAGACAGGTGAGTGTCATCGACAAGTGGTATTTATAGACAGGTGAGTGTCATCAACAAGTGGTAGTTACAGACAGGTGGTAATTATAGACAGGTGAGTGTCATCAACAAGTGGTATTTATAGACAGGTGGTAATTATAGACAGGTGAGTGTCATCAACAAGTGGTATTTATAGAAGGTGAGTGTGGTAGTTACAGACAGGTGGTAATTATACACAAATGGTAGTGTATCAACAGGTGGTATTTATAGACAGGTGGTAATTATAGACAGGTGAGTGTCATAAACAAGTGGTAGTTACAGACAGGTGGTAATTATAGACAGATGGTAATTATAGACAGGTGAGTGTCATAAACAAGTGGTATTTATAGACAGGTGGTAATTATAGACAGGTGAGTGTCATAAACAAGTGGTATTTATAGACAGGTGGTAATTATACACAGGTGAGTGTCATAAACAAATGGTAGTTATAGACAGGTGGTAGTTATAGACAGGTGAGTGTCATCAACAAGTGGTAGTTATAGACAGGTTAATGTTAGAGATAGGTGATAGTTATAGACAGCTGGGTTTTAAAGATAGATGGTAATTATAGACAGGTGAATGTTACAAACTTAAGTTATAGATGGGTGAGAGCTATAGACAGATGGTAGGTAAAGACATATGGTTGATGTAGACAGGTGGTAGTTATAGACAGGTTGCGAGTTACAGACAGGTGAGTGTTATAGAAAGGTGGAAGTTATAGACAAGTAGGAGATATAGACAGGTAAGTGCTGTAGATAGGTGATAGTTATAGACAAGTGATAATTAAAGACAGTTTAGTGGTATAGACAGCTGGGATTTACAGAGAGGTGGTAGTTTTAAAAAGGAGGAAGTTATAGACAGATTAACAGACACTCCAGAGTTTTAAACAAAAGTTTATGCATCGTTCTGTGAGAATGATTGATTAAAAAATACTTCTAACAACTTGAACATTTTACCATTTTTAATAATGATAAAACCACAGATTCCACATGTTGATTCGCCATCTTCTAAGTCAACTTAAACATTTGTTGTTTCAGGAGGATGATACCCGATGTGGACAGTGTCGGATACAAGTGTCTGTGTTACTGACAATTACATGTGTAATGTTGACATTGATAGTCCACACAAAACACAACTCGCCCTCCTGATAGTAGTGTCAATTATATTCGTTGTTCATCAACAATTCATTGCCAATAGGACCCTGTTAAAACCTTGTTTGAACCATAGTTTCACTGTCATCTGCATTCATTCCTGAGATCTATTATTCACAATGTCCAAGGAAGGTTTCTAATTATTTACAAATCAAAACAATAACTTATGGATCTGCTGACTTACCATTTAACTCAATTTTTTTTTTTTTTTTTTTTATGACGGGAACATGGTTTGGCAAAAGTAATATTCGTAACCAAGCTGTGTTACCACAATATTCCTCAACAACAATACTGAAATCTCTCAGTTTATCACCTGTTTTTTCTAACTTTAGACATCTTAATATTCAAACTAGTCAGTAATTAGTAAATGAAATTTACTGTTAAACAAGGTTCCTATTTAATATTAGTGATTGAATTCCTCACTTGAACTCAAATGACTATTTGTTACCTGTTACTTATTAAGTTCTAACACCTTAAAGTGTGTATCTAATTGAAATGTTGCTAGTGTAAAAGAGTGTGTGTTTTAACAGAACATTTGTTATTAATTGTTACATGTTAAAACAATTAGTAAAAAATTGAGGTTGTGAGTAGATATGCTCAAAACAAAAGAAAGGTATATCAAAAGGTGATTTTTCATTACTAGTCATATCAGAAGCACATTTCATCAAGGGACATAATCCTGTCTCTTTGATATAGGAATATGACTAGTGTCTTTACTGTTCAATATAAATAGAATAATGTTCAGCATTTTAATCCATGGTAAAACTGCTTGTATATAGAAAAATTATAGTGAACAGCCGTTGATTAAAATTTTGAAGAGATGTTGTTGTACCCTTAGATATTTAGTCGTTATATACATATAGATAGTTGATTAGCTGTCCTGCCTAAAGAACAAGTAAGCTTATATAGTTGCACATTGTCCGTCTGTCTGTCCGGCATGCAGCATGTCGCATCAACTCCTGTCTTTAAACAATTTCTTCTCAGTAACAAACAGTCAAATGGTGTTCTGGGATCTATCAAGTTTGTTCAAATGGATGACCTTGACCCACTTTCATGATCACATAAATCAAATATGTTAAAATCTTCAAGCAATTTATGGTCCCATTCGCTTATTATAGGAAAAACATGGTACAACAATGTGCTCAACTGGCAGATTTTATGATTCAAGCTCCTCATGGACCTTAAGGTTGGGGGCTAAAATGGGGAAAATATTTCAAAATTCTTCTCTTGACCGAGATAATGTATAATCAAGCAACCTTTTCGTGAATAGAAAGGTCCCAAAGTGCTTTAACAAAACTGTAAATTTCTGAACTCCCAAGTTCTGCTTTTCCTATCCAGTGATGGGGTTTACTATAGTTTGTATAAGATAATAACATTTTAGGGTATGTTTCATTTCTTCTCTGTAAGGTATAATTGAATATTGGCTGGATCCAATTATTGTCATTAGATGACAGTTTAAAGGTATGGAAAAAAGATTAAGACCCCATTCCTGGGGCCAGAAGGGCAGTGTTCAAAGGAAAAATTTGCAAATATTCTAAAAATCTACTTCTACAAACCCATACAAATCTGTACATTAATAAAACTTTCTGAAGTTTGAAGGTTTTAAGATCATTATTATAAATTTCATAAAACTGGAGTACTCCATTTCACTGTAGGGAGAAGGTAAATTTCACTTTAGTTAATACATAGGAAAATAATACTTTTGGAAATATTTTGGGGGTTTTTATGAGAAATGATACTTAAAACTTTTATCAATTTTATCATTAGAGAGCATTTTGTTGTTAAAGCAACTATGGTTATATATTTAACCAATGGTAAACTTTTATCAGTTTTGTCTATAATCTGTCTGTCCGTCCGTCTGTCTTTCTGTTCATGTAGCAAACAAAATGTTACCAAATTACAAAGTGACAGGACATGACTCTTTAATGGTGACATTTAACAGCTAGTATCATAGAGATAAGACTTTACAGTTTCTTCAAGTATGTATTACAACATGAAAAGACAAAAATTCTTGGATCTCCTATACACATACTGAACTGACCAGGTGACCTAGCAGTTATTGTTGTGATGTTGTTTCTGTAATATTTATTGTATTCCCTGTTTAATGGGTTTAGTTATCATAGTGAATGGTGACAATCAAATACAAATATCAGTGTAAATAAAGCCCATATTGTATGTTCCTTGGTTAAAATATTACCTTTTTTGTCATTAATTGTTAAAGATTGTATCTATGGAAATATACAGTGATGTGTGATCCTTGGACAATGGTGTGTGATCATGGTGTGTGGGTCAAGTGACATGGTGACCATGTGTATACATGTCACACGTGTGTGTATGTACATGTCATGTGTGTGTGTATGTACATGTCACGTGTGTGTATGCACATGTCACATATTTGTGTATGCACATGTCACATGTGTGTATGCACATGTCACATGGTGTGTATGTACATGTCACGTGTGTGTATGTACATGTCACATAGTATTTATGCACATGTCACATGTGTGTGTATGTACATGTCACGTGTGTGTGTATGTACATGTCACATGTGTGTGTATGTACATGTCTTGTATGTGTATGTACATGTTGTGTATACACATGTCACATGTGTGTGTATGCACATGTCACATGGTGTGTATGTACATGTCACGTGTGTGTAAAGGTATATGTGTGTACATTTTTCATGGGCTTTTTGTGGTTATACATGTCACAAGGTGTGTTGTGACAATGGTGTGAGTAGTTGTACGTGTTACAGGGTATGTTATGACAATGCTGCGTGCGGTTGTACATGTCACAGGGTATGTTGTGACAATGGTGCGTGCAGTTGTTCATGTCACTGGGTATGTTGTGACAGTTGTATGTTTGGTTGCACATGTCACAGGGTATGTTGTGACAATGGTATGTGCGGTTGTTCATGTCACAGGGTATGTTGTGACAGTTATGTGTTTGGTTGCACATGTCACAGGGTATGTTTTTGTGACAATGGTACGTGCAGTTGCACATGTCACAGGTATGTTTTTGTAACAATGGTGAGAGGGATATATGTGAAGATATGTAAATCATTCAACAAAGTTACATTTTGTGCTATGGCAATTCCATCCAATTAACAAAGTGTATGTATGATAAATGTGCATTTTTTGACTTGTATATATTTAAAGGAAGGTTACATCAGTTACTTGTATTACAAAGGTGACAAGATCAATCTGTGTATATGATCAACATCGGGTGACATGTAAACTGACTCTAGTACAAGAAACTATTAATATTAACATGTTATAATCTATAGAATAAAGTTAAAACCTGAACAATTCTCAAACTCTACCAAAATCAACACAATTCTCAAACTCTACCAAAATCAACACAATTCTCAAACTCTACCAAATTCAACACAATTCTCAAACTCTCACAAATCAACAAAACCATTAGGCACTTTCTGTAAACATTAGTTCTGAAAATGAAAGAAAACAGAAGTTTTGTATTACTGAACAAATGGAAAGTGAAGTGTACATTTTTTTTGACAATCAAATGTTTTGTGATTTTTAGCTCATCTGTTGGAGAGACATGACACAACGTCCAATGCCTGTATTGACGTCAAGGGCTATTCAATTTATTGAAATCAACTTTCAAGGTCACAGTGGCCAAATTTGTCAAAACTTTCAAATACATTCTGGCTATCCAGAAGGATTGTTGAGTCAGAATATCAAAAATATGAATTTATTTGGATGAAGGACTGACTATCATATTTTTGTTTTATGAGGATATCTTGTTATGTTTTCAGGATAGATTGAGTTAAGTTATCATTAGCAACTTCTGAATATGCAAGAAGTCAGGGTTTGTAATCTTTGACAAATCCATGCTGGAATGAAAAGTCATGAAGTTTGTTCAAATAAAAGACATTGACATTCAAGATTACACGTAATAATTAAGTCTATACAACCTATTTCGAAAAATGATGAGACCAAATAAATGAATAATGATTAAAGATATTAGAGGTCTAGAATGATACAACAATACCTTAAGTGAGCTTGTCCGTGCATTTCATACAAGATTTTATAAAACGAGTTCTAGAAGCTAATTTGATATTTCTGAGACAAATTTCATGAAATGAAAACATATTAAAGATACTGTTTATCGCACAACTCAGAAAGGTGTCATCTTGACAGGTTTAAAAGTCAAAATATGAACAATATCAAACGGAGGCAGCCATTTTGATGTGCCAGTTCCATTCAAGATGTAATGTCATTGTCAATATTATGACAATCAATTTCTGAGTGGCCCAGGCAATGGAAAATGATCTAGGACAAATTTACTAGATGAGAGGCATTTTTGTGTGTATATATACATAGGTAACATTTTGTATGATTCATAGTAAGCCCTGTTACTTTTAAGGAATCTGACAGTAGGGTTCTTTGATGTCCATTTTACTAACATTAATATCTGGTGACCACTACAGGCCAATGCTAGATCTCTTTTGTGTGTGTGGTTTTTTTTTTATTGAATATATAGTGAATGTTACATCTATAAAATCACTATTCTAATTGGTTGTTTCCAGCGTGGAATTATAAATGTAGTTCATCAACTCTCTTCCAGTTCAGGTGCTTTTACAAAGTGTACAAAGGTAGGTAATTATAGTTAATTTTTAAGCTAGATAACTTACTGTATCTTTATTTTGATACTTCAGTCTTTAACTAGACTTGATAAACTAAGAAGCAAAATAATGGAACTTTTGGGGATTTTTTTAACAACTGTGAAATTTTTTTCCAGATCTGGCAAGAGTGCAGTACAGAGTAAAATCTATCTAAATAGAAGCATCAGTACATTTTTTTTCACTTTCATAATTACTACAAATGGCTTCCTTAAGTATCTGCTGCTGTTTGTTGTGACCAGTATGGAGTGTTGATTGTAACCATCCTAGTGTTGATTATGACCAGTTCCTACTGTTCATTGTGACAACTGTAAATTATGACCAGTTCCTACTATTCATTGTAACCATCCTA